TTGTATAATAAAGATGTGAGCGTCTGATTCGTCTCTTTATTGAGATCCACATGCGAAAGACCAGATCTGACTCGTTTATACCCTTCGTCTAACTTCATCCTGTAGGAGTACAAATTTGTTGGAAGTACCGTAGACTATATCTAAGAGCTGGTTTTAAGCTTTGTCAAGAACCTGAATTCCTTTTTTTTTATGAAAGCAAAAGTGGTCTATCTCTCATCCGAAGAATACTTCTAAGTGTCTCTCGTCAAAATTTCAGCCAAATTGGACAAAGTTTCATGCAAGCCATAAATCGACCTGGTGTGACGCTGTGGAAAATCGAAGTTTTCAGAATAAACTGCGAAAACCTTGTTTAAGAATCTCTTTTTGCTGAAACATATGACTATTTACTTTAGACACTCTATCCATAGTAAGAAAAACATACAGATACGCTACGCCTTCTTTGAAAACGAGAAATGGTTAAAAAAGACGAGAGGCAACTCTTAAGCAAAATTGTTACCGAAAGCAAAACAAAAATTTCCAAAAAGACATACTTGTTTTTTCGCTGAAACTTTCAAAACTATATAATGACTATGAAAAGTATCTATGGACAACGTTTCAGGGAGAAACTGTTTGTTTTGGATATTTTGAAAGTGACTTGCGCTTAGTAAAAATTTCATTTAAACGATCATAACCTTTTGCCAGTAGGCCGTAGACTTAGTCAGACTCAGATTACTTATAGCTATTATATCAAGTCGAACGATGATTCTAAACAATTTTCAAACAGTAGTTTGTGCTAAAAATAAAAATAATAGTAACAAATTCAACAAGCAAATTGACAAAAAAAACTTTTGTATGTCTATTCTTAAAGATATGAGCAACAAAAAAACAACAATTTTTCATAGAAATTATAAGATCGACTCTCACAATAATATATTTTCAATTATATCTTATATAAATATTAAATCAATGACGAAAAAGAAATAGATAACTTCAATAACTTTTATTATTCGTTTAAGGTGTGAACTATTTCTAGAAACCAAAATCCAATTTCAGCACTTTGATCATAAGATGAATTAATTGATCCAGGAAATATGCCTGGTTCAGTTTGTTGATTCATAAGAGAATTAGTAATTTTTTCAATAGCATCCAAATATTTCTCTTTCAATGTATCATCATATTTATAAAGTAAAGCAGCTGACCATGCCAATTTATGACTCATACTAGATGAATAAACATGTTCATTACATGTTAATGCAAAGTTCATATAATCTTTTGCACCTTTAAGAAAATTTTTATCATTTGTTTTCTTATACAATAATACTAAAAATCCAATTGGATAACCAATCATAAAATAAGCTTGCTGTGGTTCATTTTTACGAACAATATATGCCCATGACATATCCGATGAATAATTCGTAATTAAATTATCATTTTTGTCCAAACGTAAATATAATCCATTTATTAAATCGGATTGTTTTTCAAATACTTTCAATAGATAATTACCTGCTTTAATAGCACGTTCAATATTACCACGTTCTAATTGTAAAAGACCAAGATTTGCCGTTGTTAATATATCAGTAATACCATTATTATTTGTATCATTTTTATTTGTTAGATAACCACCATTCTCACAAGAATATCCATCTAAATAATTGGATGCCGTATTCGTTATATCAGTTCGATTCAATTTTTGTGCTGCACGAACAATCCATCCATTTATATAAACCCAATATTCGATATATTCTGGTTGATCACTTTTCTTATCAATTGTTGTTAGAAAGTCACCATTAATAAGAAAAGTATTTTTAATATAGTCTAATACATTATTAGCTTGTTTTTCATATCCAGCACTAATAAACATCATTGGTGATTTAAAATAACATGCTAAATCTTTTGCTTCTGTTCGATAAGATCCATTTGATTGTAAATCATTTAAAAAGTAATCAACAACTTTTGTTGCAGATTTAGATAAATTCTCAGCTAGAGATTTCGCCATCTGCAAATATAGAGGAGAAAAAAAAATAGAGCCTCATATTTTAGTCATAAAAAATATGAACTTTAACATATTTCGAGGTTTTTAATAATGAAGTTAAATTAGTTGTATGGTGTACAAAAGCTGTAGATAGTAGCATTATGATATTGAAATTTTAGCAGTAGTCCTCGTTTCGACTATCTTTTCATCGATGAAATAGAGAGAAAGAACTTCCGATATAATACAATGTTCTCATAGGCAGCACTCAATTAGATTCATAAATGAACTATATTTCTCAAAACAAATGAAGACAAATTGTTTACATATGACGCTTTCATTATTCAAGATAGGTTAACTTCTTCACATAATTTACGCTTATCGATTAGAATTAATTAAAACGATAAATATTATAATATGAAATGTATCACTGCTCTTTCATCTAATCTGTATACAGGTAAATGAATGGTGCGAATAATTGTTTCAATCGACATGATGTTTATTCAACTACTTTAGCTCATCACGGTTGTCTACACTTCTATGCATACTCTCTCCTATAGCGATCATTTAGTAGAAGAAAACACACACGAAGAGAAACATAACGATTAATGATTGTTCCGCTATGGATACTTTCATTGCTTTTTGTTTGTGTAAGACTCATAGAGGATATATAATGAAACTTTTTGAAAATTTACCTATGTCAAATATCACTATCTATAGATGGAAAAGTCCAACAACTTGTCAGTCAATAGCATCTATGAATTTCAGACCAGATCCATTTCTGTTTTGCATAGCAATGATGAAAAGCATAAGATTGAATATGAGTTGTGTTTTTTTATTTGCTGCTCTATAAGCTTGTTTAAAAAAATTACTGTCATCATCAAGTTCATGTAAACCAAAAGAAGTAAAGATTATTGAGAAATACGTTTAAAGAAAATTCCTTAAAAATAAATCTCAACTATAACTAATGCTCTTACATTCAGTCTAGCTGTTGTTTTAATAAATGTACTGCTGTTCATAGAATACTTTCAACTGATGCATACTATGTAAACATAGATTATATTTGTGTTTGAAATTTTTTTAGAAAAGAACAATAACGCGTTTAATCGTATTGTCTGATGCAATAGATTTTTCTATTATTCGACACTGTTACGTGTCTGTTTGAAGGCATACATGTGTGATCCGTCTTCTATCTGTATCTGCACTAGATATTCTATCGTTATTAAGTTATAATTGAGTATATTCCATTAAATAAATAGTGCGAAAAACATAGTTTTTAATTGCATTTTGCTTGACGATAATGTTAGGATCTTTACACTACACATGATTTCTATTCTTAAATACAACATAAAATCTTTTATATCGAATAATAGTCTGATAATTCTATTTATAATCGAGCCACTTGGTAGGTTCTTACCTTCCTTTTTTCTTTTTTGATCTCTGTTTAAGGTTATATTTTCAAAGATAATTCAATAGAACCGCAGGGTATTGCTTCAGATCAACATCACCTTCACTTTGTCGGTCGTACAGATAAGGGAAGAAGAAAACAAAATCTATTGGCTTATCCGTTTCAATCAATAAGAATAGGCAAAAGAAAGGTGTCGTACATTTGTAAAGTTGAGAATATATACATCACAATAACTGTGCATAATATATATACTGCAGGCAAGAGAACTGATGGAATATCATATCTTTGTTTTGAATAGAGTAAAAATCTTCCTTCTAGATTCATTTTTCTTGGCGTCATTTGACGAGTAAATACTATACATAAATCTTAAGTTGTCTAGAGTAAACAATATCAAAAACAAAGAAAACATAGTTAGTCGAATTCATGTGAAAACCTTGTTAACACACTCTTCTAATGAAACTAAAATGCGGAGCTCATATAATAATGTAGTAACAACAAAGAATTATAAACACCTGTTCGTTAATAACTGCTGATAATTCATCATTCCACACAAAACTATGTGCAACCGAAACAGAAAAAATGTCTTTTGAAACAACAATCATCCGAATAGAGTATTATTGAAAATGAAAAACTGATTTCTTTAATTGTCTCTTTCTTTGACTTGTTTCATTAATTTCATCGTTTATTCCGTAAATGATGTGTCTGTAAAGAAAACACTACATTTTTGCTTTTGATGCAACTCAATATCTTTTCCAAGAAATAGTACATGTCAGCTTTAAGCCGAAGTTTTTCGACTAACTACACTTTCCCAAAGTTCTTTAAGAATAGAAAAAGATGCTTAACAGCATCAACAACAAGACTTAGACTGTCTAGAACATTCCAACGTCTTCGTGAAAATTCGAAAAATGGAATGACCATACAAAAGAAGAAAAGTTTCTTTTCGAAATATAGAAATAAAGACGACAGATTATCACTCGGATAGTCGTTACTTTGGAAGACAATTACAGTGTACAGGAAATATTTTACTTGACGTATTTCGTATTAGTTAAACGATGCTAACCAACATTGGTGAACTCCACATTTCAGCTCAAAGGGCCTGCACTAACAAGCTTTTATTCTGGTTTATTCAAGTGTTGATGCATATTTTGGAGAACAATTATATAAGTTTTTCAACCATGTCTTATCAACATTCATATTGAATGAAGAACTATTGAAGCGGTTTCGATGAAAAGTTTCTTTAAAAAAAATGAAAATCCTTTGTCCCCACCCTGAAACACCAAAGAATAATGGAAGACTGTTCTAATAGAATTTTCTTCAGGTCGATAAAAGTAACTAATAGCAGCTTTTCTTTTTCACTTTCTAGACAGCTTTAATCATAGATACTTTGAATGTATTTCATGTATAGAAAATTACCCGTTGCATAGCTTTTTATAATGTCACTTCGAGACGAAATTCTTATTTCCCATTGCGAGACATTTTTCCAACGAGCATTAAAATGAACAAGAAGCAATCGATGAGAAAGACGTGGTAAATAACTGATTAAAGAACGGAGAAAAGGTATCGAATGCCTGTAAAAAAAACAGTTTTGTGCTATTAGCCTAGATATATTGAATAAAATAACTGTGCCAAGTAGATTTTCATTCGATTTGTGAGAGGTATGAGGTAACGTTGAAAAGAATCGCGTATTTGTGAAGTTATCAGTTTCTTTTCTTAGTATAATATTGTTTATTTGGAACCACATATACTTAGTTTTTCGACCATGAAGTTTCTTATCATTTTTGACACTCGAAATATGGACACTAATTTGTAAACATTCTTTAGTATCCATATGGTAGAGTCTGCCTTGTTTTCCTATACAAAAACTGCTTCATTATGACAAACAAACGATGAAATCTAAAAATTTCCTTTTTCAATTTCAAGCAGAATAAACTGAATGAATGTACCCACATATGCTTAAAGTTTGTTTATTATGAGCCAATTAGTTGACAATGATTTTATTCAAATTCTAGTAAAACAAAATACAAAAAACAATGTGTTCACAGTCTGTTTCGTTCAATGTTCATTTGTAGCTTCTATGGTGATGTATGTGCGGATTTATTTTTGTAACATGGCAAACTTGAAACTTCAAACAAAGGTAGTTTGAAAAACCAATCCATCTTATTCAGTAAATGTGCAATAGCCGAATACCAAGCAATTGATGCAGTAAGAATACCGAATGCGCCCGCTGCACGCTGTAAATTACGTTCAGCTTGTAAAAATTTGCTTGCTGTAAGAAGAATAAAACAGATAATGAGAAATACAAAGAGAGCAATTGTAACAAAATTGGTTCGTAGAACAGCGAGAAGCATTAGTGTTGTATAAATTAACCAAGCGAGAAAAAAAACACCAAGAGCATTTTCGAGTGCGATTGAATCATTGTAACCACCAGTGAAGTTGAAAGCAGATATACCAAGTGAAGCAAAACTGAGCCAAAAACCTCCATAAGAAGAAAAGATAAGACCAAGTAAATTGTTTCCATTGCGAAATTCAAGAAGTCCAGCTAAAAGTTGAACGAGTCCGCCATAACACAAAGCAGGACCATTCACTACGCCTAGTGAAGCATTAACAGGGACAGTGGCACCGGCAAGATACATGGACGCTATAAATGTTGTCAAAGCAAATGCACATAAGCCAAGGGGTGTCGGATTTAAATCATGATAAGAAGGACGACAGGATTGAGTATACTCTGGTGGTGAAGATTTTATCGTCTGTTGATGTTTGAGAAATTTTTCAAATGCTAACCGAGTGTCTTCATCAAGATTATTTATTGTCACTGATCTATTGTGTGCCATTATTTAGTAATAGAATCGTTTAAACAATACCGTTAATATTGAAAACGAAAAGCTACTTAGATAATTAACTGAAATGAATATGAGAATTATTAGTCGAGAGTCACTTATTAAAAATAAAAATTATTTAACATGAAATGGTAAGAGAATACGAATTGTGTTGTTTTTAATGGCAGAAGTATCGCAGACAAGAGCATTTATAGCAGCCTTGAATGATTCATTTGTAAATGTACTTCATTAAGCAAAAACAAATCAGTTTTATGAGTGATCTATGTTTGATGCCCTTTTTTTTGAGGTAGCGCTCTTTTGCTTGAAGTACAAAATATTTCGATAGCCACAGAAAGAAAAAATACCTGGAACTGTATTCGTAGAGTAGAAGCAGGCAGCTCTTTCTAGTTGGCTCTTCTACGAAACCAATTCAACAGCGAAAGTTGTGAGTCAATCGTTAAAGAAAAGAAACTAAATAGTACTTTCAAAAATTTCGTGAAATAAATGAACAGTAGTAGTCAAGACTCTTTGGCACCACTAAACACTGCTTATCTGTTAGAAACGATCCAGAGATAAACTGTTCAAAACCGAATCAACTCACAATAAACTCATGTTATTCATTACAAGATTAATTGAAATATTTTTCTATTCTCATGACACAAAAACGGTAGCAATAGCGTTTGAACGCATCATTTTTAAAATGTCAATGCATTACAAATCTTTTTTTGCAAGTTAGAACGTCATATAAAATCCTCGTTGCAATGCGTTTACTGTTTTGCATTTAACAGGTCTTTTCTTTTTAGTGTTCTTTGACTGAAAAGAAATACAATATATTTTTACAACAGCGTCAAAACAAAGTCTCTATAATGCATTTTCCTCTAGCGAAAATCAGCTAATTCACAAATAGACAAATATTCAGTATGGCACACTTAAAAATAATATCAACTAAATAGGACTATTCTTCGAATAAATTTTGTAAGTATAGCACAGCAGAATGTATTTGAAAGTAGCTTCTTAAAAGAGATATTTTTTAAATAAACATTCAACTATTTAATAAACTTTCATAGCTGTTCAAATATACCAATTCGTTATAAAGATTCGTAGTATTATAATACATTCTAATTTGGACTAAGCTTCAATAAAAGTTTTTCTTTTAACCTGTTACAAAGATATTGACTGCTATCATCTATTATGATATGAATGATTGAAAACGTATGTTTTTCTTACCTCAAACGAAATAAATACAATATAATTACTAAACAACGTAACAAGGAATTTAATAACAAAAATAACCGTGATCTAAATCAGGAAACTAAATTTACGACATATACTCACAATGAATAATGAAATCTTGTTTAAATAGGTATCACTATATTTTACCTAATACTGACTACTTTCACATAATATATAGCATGCAGTAGCTGCTCTTTAAAATACTAAACATAACCAAATAGTTGCTACATAAATGAGCAGCTATAGAACTTTATTAACCAGTGCCAAATGTCTCTAAATAGTATTGCTTATAAATCATTAAGCATCACACAAATATCTCCATCAAGATATGTTATCATTTCTCTCACTCCCCCCTATAAAAGAATGAAATAGCTGTGGAAGACTTTCCTAGCTTTGAAAGCTTTATGTAGGTATGAACAATTAAATACCTATGAAAGAATCAAATAGCTATGTAATGTTTAAAGCAGCTTTGACAAGTTGTATAGCTATGAGGATTCAAATAGCTGTGCATTTTGCAAAGTGTGTGAGGTTAAGAAAAACTTTATCTCTTTTGAAGGTGAGACTTATTTGAATATTACAAAAGAAAAAAAGAGTTTTATAACAAATACGACAAGTAAAGATGAATGAAACAAGTTGAGCTTTATGGTAACAACTCTCTTCAATTTTTTTGCATACAATGATTAGTCATACACTTTCCTTTGTTTTTTTTTAATTGTTAACGTAATTTCTTGTAATTCATTGTTAGAGTGGTACATTGATGATACTATCAATCTATTCAAAGTGATCATTTTTTAATAGAAAACAGTAGTGCATATTTGTTTATTGTCATCAAAATTCTTTTATTCGCCATAAAAGCTGGAATATTTATATCACCTACTCGTTCGACAAATAATACACTTTAATGTGAATATTTTTCGTTCTCTCCAAATACATTCTTTTTATGTCTTGCTATGTTCTATCACTTCAGCAATCAAATGGGTACATTATAAAAATATTCATCTATTTCTCTTTGCTTTTTGTCGACTATCTGTTAATGCCAAACTGATAGTATTATAATGAAATTCAGTAAAAAGAAACGCAGACGTGTGCAGCATTTTCATTGAATAGATATTTCTATAAAAAATTTTGATCTTTTCTTCTTGTAAATTAATAAGTTCTTTTACAATCTTCAAAATTATCTATCTAATAGATGATGTTCATAGAGACAAAACAATAATATTCATATATCTCAAAAATATTTAGCTTCTTCCAAGATACATTCAGATAAATTAATAGAAAACTGATCTAGTGAAAATACATCACATTTTTAATTAGAAATATTAGATCATACAATCTTAGGTGAGGATCTAACAATTTCAGGCAAACTAACTTAATCATTTTATCATATTGTTATCATTCTATTGCATTTTTCTTAATAACTTATTTTTTCGAAATAATTAATTTTGATAAGCGAATAGAAAATGACCTTAGTAATAAAAAAATGTGTTTTCATATCAATAAAATGGTTTGTAAAGAATGCACTTTTGAAAGATTTGTTTGTGCTTTTAGTTAGAAAACAACAAGTTCCAACGCAGATTTTTGTAATATCTTTTTCATAGTTTTTATGACATTATAAGTTTGAAATACTCTGTAACACGTTAAAAAAAATCTCAACTTAGTTTTCGGTTTCTACGTTCTGTTAAATAAGAATATTATGAAATCAAAGCGTATGTGTGATTTAAGCATGGATACATGTTTAACAGACATTGGATACTTAGTACAATACTTAGTACTTTTCGTACTTAGTACGCGGAAATCGTAAGTACCAGTACGCTTTTTTAAGTAAAAGTACATGTACTTTTTACTTAAAAATTGTACTTTGTACTTGTACTTAAGTACAATGTACTTAAGTACAATGTACTAAGTACACCGTACTACAGTACAATTGTACTAAGTACCGGTACTAAGTACATTTGTACTTAGTACCGATGCTGTCTGTCTACCCTTTTCGAGAACATTACTTGGTGGGTTTCTCATTTTGATTACTTTTTCGTTTCATACGATTATAAGTGTTTCTTCTCTGTAAAAAGAAGAGTTGTTATAGGAACGGTTTTTTCCATTGCTTCGTGAACCATTCTTAGTCACCGGAATTCATATTAAAACTAAAGAAAATGCAGTAGAAATGTTTGGAACATTTTTCCAGTTCTCATCGTACTGGCTAGAACTGAAAAAGACTTGAGCAAAAAGTATCTAAACTCGAATCCACAACGACTTCCATATATAGCATCTTTACTTTTCAGAGCTATCGGCTTTACATTTTAGTAGTCTTAAACTAAGCTCAACCTAAACAAAAAGTTGTCAGCACAATCTGTTCGATGGGTGTGGGGTGTGGGTGGGGTGTGGGTGTGGGTGTACTGCGTGTGAAGACAATACACGCATCCACACCTACACCCGCATCCATTGTAACCAAACAGATTGTAGATGTGTTTCTGATATCTCTTTTACCAATTTACCATTACTGATTATAGGTTACAAAACTGGAAATTATATTGATTTTGATACCAAAAGATATAAAAGTCTAATAATACTCATGTAAACTTTCATCATCTTTTTAATACAGATGTCATTTGATTACGAAAGTGTTTTTTGTCGGTAGAAAAATATGCAGCGAAGAGAGACTTGTACTTTTACTTAAGTACATTGTACTTAAGTACAATATACTTAAGTACAATGTACTTAAGTACGGCGTACTTAGTACAATGTACTTAAGTAATTGTACTTAAGTAAAAGTACAAAGTACAATTTTTAAGTACACCGTACTTGTACTGGTACTTACTGTACTGCTACTGGTCCAATGTCTGATGTTTAAGAGACGCACTACAAATATTATGACCGAACAAAACGACTAATCAGTGCATAGTATTCTGGGGTGTGTTAGATACACGTATTCAAAAACATAGATTACAAAAAGGAAATAAATCGTTTTCGTTGATAGGACAAAAATAAAAGAATCAGACAAAGATTTGCAAATCTATTTCAAATTGACCTGAACAAAGGAATTCAGTCTGCTCTATTATTGAATAAGAATAAAATATAATGTTACTTATTAACATTGATGCAGTATCATAGAACTCATAAGATGACCTTGTATTATCATCAACTATTTAGCTGAAGTTTTCCTTTTTTTGCCATGAAACTCAAACTTTCGCTTAAACACAAATCAAAAACAAGAAGTTGAAGAATTTACCGTTATTTGCCGTTTAATCATTTTAGTTTACTCTTAGATATCAATATTTTCCGTCTTTAAGAGCTCGGTTTCAACTTAAAAAGGTCCTTTTTAATATGCCACACTATACTATGATCCTGAATAGTACACAGCATACACAAATCAATTGTTTTTCAACGATATTCTAACAGATTTAGTCGCTACACAATAGCGATAATTAGGAAACACTTTACCAGTAACACACAATATAGTTGATTCTATGTATACTATACCGTACACCGCGCATGTGAAAATAGTTATAGTTTGGTCTATGCAGAACTATTCATTGTGTTTATAATTTTCAACTATAGTTATAAGTATCAACCATCTAAACTTGATTGATTCTTTTGATTTCTGAGTAACTTTAATTAAGTTGAAATAATAACCAATTATATTAAATTGATACATGTGATAGAAGAGAAAAAAATACATATTTCAATGTTCTTTACTTGAGAAAATCAGCATTTGTAAAATCTTTTCTATAAGTGTTTTTTATGTATTCATTTGTTAGCTATCTTTTCTATTCCTTTCATGTCGAGCATGAATACATGTGTAGGACAATGTATTTTTGGTCGTACGATCGATGATAATCTTTAAATTGTGAGCAGCTGAATGTAATCCTGTCTTTTATTGTTTGAGATGGCAATCATCTTCAATAAATATTGTGAGAAAATTTAGATAACGCTTTCTCACGATTAAATTACACATTTCAATAGGAAACCACTATTTGATTATTCTCTGTTCACTCATATGCATCCTTTACTACAAATGAATAAACAAAGCCAAGCGAGAAGAGCGTACTTTATTCATGGAAATGAATATGACTTGAAGTTTTAAGTACGTAGTTTAACGTTATGAACAATGTTGAAAATATGTTCATTAACGATTATAATACGAAATTTATAATAGTTGCAACTTTGACCGATTTACTCAATAGAGATGTGATGATTTTATTGTTACACCTTCCCAATACTACACATCTAAGTTCTAAAGTAGAAAGTTCTCAAATGTATCTCAAATCTGACGTTACTATAGTCATCGATACAACTCCTTTCATCCTACATATATTCTGCTGGATTGTGTGTGAAAATGTCCTAATAAAGAAAATAAACATACGATGATATAAACTATAGTAAAAAAAAAACAGAATTCAAAAGTCAATGTTTTTTTTCTTGGAAAAAAGAATTTTCTAGCTACGTCTTTCAATAAACGAAAAAAACAATGGCTAAAATATATGTGAGAGGCAGAAGATGCTAGGATAGTAATCAGCAATATAAAATAATCATTTGAAGTTAATGACTGTCACTCGATTGAGATTTGCATACGATGAAAATATAGGGCGACGTGGAATCATACGAATGCTTGGATTTGCTGATGAAGAACGTTTTACTCGACGAACAGAAACATTCGATAGAGGTTGTACATTTATTTTGCTTTCTTCTAAATTATTGAAGTCATTGTAGTGAATTTCATTCAATTGTGTTGTACTGTCAATAGGTGATGTTGATTGACGCGGTTCGATCGATGATTTAGTTAAGCGAGGAAATTTTTTAAAAGGGAAATGATTCTTTTTTGCTGATGTTGATGCAGAAGACGGAAAGTTTATTGTATCAGAAGAATCTTGGAAAATAGATCGAATACGCACACAATTATTAGTTGGAGTGTGAACTTGTGTTGGTGTCTTTGTTATTTTATCTTGTTGATCGATTTCTTGAATGTGGGCAGATGAGTTTAAATAATGTGAAGGATCAAGAGATTTTCCTGATGATGGTTTGCATCTTACATTGTCTTTATTGTCAATAAGTGTATTATCTTTTCGATTAATTCTACTGATAGTAGCACCACTTGATGTTTGCGAATAATTGATAATTTTGATGCTGCTGCCTTCTCTTAATTCATGGTTTTCTTGTTGCTTTTTTCCGCTTAGAAGTTGTTGATGAACTCTTCCACTTGCTGGACTCCACTCAAAGCAGTTTTCCGACTCGTTACTTTTCTTTTGACGTCGCCGACGACGTTTACGACCACTAACAAAACGAAAAAAAGATAATGTACTGTAGAGCACAATATATTCCTTACAATAAAAAGCAACAACAACATAGAGCACAACACACGATCAAAGTTAGTGCGAGTAATGATAGGCCGATAATTAATGGCAAATTTATGGTATTGTTTGGTTTAACTGAAAGAAATGCAAAAGAAAAAAGGAGATTATTCGAGTTGCTTCAAGGTTTCAAAGATATTACCAGTTGATGATGATATAGATGAACTTATTGACATACTGATTTAAATCAGTTTGAATAAAAATAAAAAACAAATGAAATTCTCCATTATAACAAAAAACTATCTAACCTTGTTTGAACATTCGCTGAAGATGTGATATCCATCGTTGTGATCATCTCTGTTGACTGTTGTAAGGTCTGCTGTGATGTCACATCCCTAGAACGGCGAATAATTACGTGTATCGCTGTTTGATTATCATTATTCTATGAGTTGCCTCTGATGTAATTCCATATGAACATTAAAGTGCAAACAAATTTGTACATTTACAAATGTGCTGACTTATCGGTGTCTTTTTTTTAGCAAACTCTCAATGTCTCTCTCAATCTGTATAAATTCAGATAGTGAATGAATGATCAATGTACTATCAATGAAGTGATGCTGTCTACTGTCAAGAAATGCTACTACTGTGAAAGAGAAATATGACAGCACTGCATTTGTGAACATCGACTCACATTAAAGCTGTCGACGTTTGGATTGTTGTTATCATTGTCGTTGAACTGTGAAGAAAAATGAAACAAATATAGCCAATGGTATCGTTGATCAAATGAAGAACTTTACGCAACAGTTGCTCCTGGACATACTGGAATACTTGTGAGACCAACAAACAATGTCACACAGTACTGATCTGATTGAACACTTGCACTCAAAATATCAAAGACAAAGAACTCAATTAAGTATTGAGAGATCAATATAAACAAATAGCTCACTTATCACTTCCAACAGCACAAAAGACTTGTGAACCGACTTGATTAGCCGTTGGAATCCATGTAATTCTCATTGACCATACGGATGTATTAGTAGCATTCTGAACAAGTGCACTCTTGATAATAGTAGGAAACGATAAAGTAGCAATGTCTGTGATTGTTCGTTCGCTACCACACTGATTAACAACTGTAAATGTCATTGTAAAATTCACACCGACTTGTGCACCTTGGCAAACACCACTGCTGACATCGGCCAATAAAAGAGGCTTAAGTGCGCAAGTTGTAGCTGCATAAACATAAATCAAAAATTGAAGTGAGACAGAACTTAATGGAGTAGTACTGGTATTCGTTATAAAATCTTCGACCTGTAAGAATATATGAAATTAAATGAAATAATGAAGAGATCTATGCAAAAGCAAATCACCTGTATGGCAACAAGGTAATAATCGCCAGCAGTAGTTCCAGTAATTGTCAGAATACAAGAAGTAGATAAAGTTGTACCTGTCGGCAACGATCCTGGTGGACAAGCGTTGGCACATTCTGATGATCCATTTGCGAATCGACATTTAAGATAATCATTATCTGCATCAAGAATTGGAATTTGAATCGTTTGCTGAACATTAACAGGTATGCTCAAGTATGAAATACATGTGGCTACAGGTGGTGTATTAATCAGTCCATTATCTGATCTTGCACGTATGTCAATAGAAGATGAAAGACTCCAGCCAGTTGAATTTCCCAGTGCCAATGTTTGCCATCCACCCGTAGTAGCAAAAGTTGCAATGAAATAAGCTCCACTGGTGAGATTGACTATATCCGATCGTTGGCTCACTGTCAAGTCAAGTGCATTAGAAAAATCGGTACAGTAGCCAGTAATAGGTACTTCATTACCAACATAGCCACCTGATGTTGAACAACTAGCACTACATGTTAAATTGACTCCAGCGCCTGCTTTCGTTCCTATATTAATAGATGGTGATTGAGTGGCAATCATGCTATCATTGCATCCAATTATGGAGGACGTCCAACTGTATGTTTGAGTAATAATGATCGAAACTGTACTACCAGCTGTAATGTTATTATTAACCGGTTTCCAAGTGATTGTACCACCACGAAAATGATACGCTTCAATTGTAGGTGCAAGTAGTAATAATAACGATAGAAGATAAATGAGATGCATTAGCAAGGGAATCTACACAAATTTATGACACTTTACTGTATTTAAGATTTTTCTGGACTTACTATAGTTTTTTACTGTCAAAATACTTCGCTTTTCAGACGAATTCAATACACTAATATTCAGTTATGTCTACTTGTCACAATGTCAATTTTATATCTTACTTGAAATGTCCTTTATTGTATTACAGTGCATTTTTTTATATTGCTTTTTTTTGTTATTTCAAATAGATTGATGATGGAGGCCATAAGAAAAAACATCAACTTTTTCAGGCAGTGAAAATGAGTAGAAAAACAAAACTCAATTATAAATATGAAATATACCTGATGAATTTTTACATGATTTCGTATTGATAGATTAACATGGAGGCCAGTTAAATTCAAATATGATTGTAAAATTTTTAAAATGACAAAAGAAGAAGTGGCCAAAGAGGATTCTACTATGACACTTCCTCATTGTCGTGGACAATGCAATCTACACACGCAAATAAGGTGAGTATTGAAACTATGGTCCCACATATTGATAAAAACGCACATGCAGTGATGAATTATTTGCTCGCAGTCATTACTAATAAGAAAAAAAAAGCACTTTTAGGTTTCAAGAAATCGTACATATTCTTTCAATTGTTTTATCCCAACACTGATTCTCTTTATTTCAAAACATTTCTATCAAGTTAGATTGCCTTTCATCATCTGAAATTCATGAAATTGTATTAAAAATCAAATCATTTCTAAACTTAAAACTCTCAAAGTCAGAATATTAGAATAAATAAAACAATTTTGAACACCCACTTCTGGAGACCATTCGACTATAAACGCCATGAATATTATCACAATGAAATATATACTACATTACAAGTGATCCTACTATATCTATCGAATTTTTAGAAAGTCTCAATTTTTTTTTATTTATTGCTCCATAAAAAGATAATATGATGTATCAGAAATTAGTGGAAGGTTTTTGATGAATTTTTTCATCCAGAATCATACGGCTCTAGAGACCTTACTGACTTCTTTTTATGATATATATTGTGTAATGAATGTACTTTTCTTGTGTGGCTAACTATTTTGTCACGGAAGACAACACTATGTATGTGCTAACTGGATTCATTTTATCCAACGTCGAAGTACAACACTTATGTTTGCTCTTATTTTCAGCCAAATATTATACGAAATACACCAAAAGTCTCACCTCACTTTTAACTTTTAATTCATGTTTTTGAAAGCTGAAAAAATTGATTTAATATGATTATACTGTTGACAATAATACTAATATTTATGAGCAAAAAAGATCAAATAGAACTTGATTGTTTAATATCAATCTATAGAAAATGAAAATTAATTATTTATTTGTTTATTTCCTTGATGAAGGTAATTTTTGTGTTAATCAGCTGAAATAATAAATGAATAAAGTTTTCGAATCAATCAATCAATCCATTTTCTATATGCTGTTAAGATACCACTGTTTGCCAATCTATGCTTCAAACAACTGTAACCATAATATTGGAAACACCTTGGTTGATCCAAAAGTTGTATTGCTTTATCATTTTATATAAACAATGGAAAATCGATCATTCTTAAGTAAATCAGTAAATAAATAGCTTCTATCTTCTCTATATATGATTATACAAAAATACGTCTGTAAAATACACAAAATGTTTGGATATGAAGTTTAATAGGAAAACACACGAGGATATTGTTACTGTATTAGTTTTACTAGTTTTATTACATGGGCTAAGTGGTATTGTTGGCTATTTTATTACTTTCTACTATTAAATTAATACTAAATGTTGGAAGAACAAAAACAGTAAAAGAAATCCATAATCAAATATTTATTATATTATGAAATACGTCTTATTGTATCGTTGATCATATATCTCTGATATGATGCATCATTTATCTTTTTCTCTGAATTTTGTTTCCCATTCTCTGTCTATTATCCTTTTTTTCGCTCACGTTTCTCTCTATGATATCTCGTTCCATTCAAACTTGAGTGTGAGAGTGAGAATACGATGGTGAAATATTATAGGATGTGGTTTTCGATATTGTTTTTCAACTTCATTGTCTCATCTTCTATGCAAAAAAAAACTGGGAATTTTTTTTATCGCCTTACTCGTCCATTCCAAAGTCTCATGAGTCCTATGCTGCACATTCAAAGTATATGTAAATAATAATAAAACTTGGCAAATATTTTATTAACTGTTACTACCGATGACACATGTCTTCCTCCTTATACTATATACAAGTTATTGCGACAAAATGATAAGTGATGTTCGGAAAAATCTTATAGTTGGTGCGATCTTCAATGACGTCGATTTCAGGAAGAATCTATGAGAATTGCTTTTACGATTAGCTGTTGAAATTATTTATTCCAAAGAAAAGTTATATTTTACACCTACTATTGTCAATAATTGATAATCATTACTCACATTTTTCAGTTAAAGCAGGTTAATTCGCCATCCGACATAAAATACTCGACTCATGCATTGCAACCGTTAGACGTATGCATTTGTACGAAAATCACTGTGGTTCTAATTTAACCAATTATTAAGCAAAAGACGGCTTGGTAAACCTGATTTTGTTATATTATTCTTGAAGTTGTTTCATTGTACATTATCATTTACTCATTGTGCACCGTCGTTTGTAAAAGCAAGCGTTTATTGTTATCCTTAAAGCTTTATTCCAAAAGGAAAATTAATAAGCGACTATGCCAATGCATTAGTCACAGCAAACTATATAGCGATCGTTAAAAGAAAGAAACTTGTAAAATATCTATGAGTTCCAAATTACATACAGATAGTTCAAGTTTAATCTTTTAGTCTCTAGTAGACACCAATTTTCGACTTGCTTTTCTTTTTTAGTAAGAAACACATTGTACTTCAATTGTGACAATTCTTCATTTTCTTACGTTCAAAAAAGTTTTCTATACTAACTTCTGTTGACTATACAAGATAATACACAAATAACCATTCGTCAAATAGATGATGTAGTGCAAAGATAGCTGCAAGTTTTAATAACATCAACTGATTTCAGGCAATTTCTGATTATTCATAAGAATTCAACTAATATTGCTTGAACTTTATCAACAAAACAGCCTAACTATGTCAAGTTTTTATTACATTCTATTGAAAAAGGTGAAAAGAATAGTCTCTTCCTTATGAAAACTATTTTTATTTCATGTACAGGAAAAAAGCTCTTTGCTTAAAATTGAGAAATTAGTTCAAAATTTTTTAACTTCAACCAAAAACTTATTATTATTAGAAAACGAGAATACTACATCAATGTGTCAGATCTCAATGAGCTAATATTAATCGAAATCAAGAAGAAAAAATAAAAGTCAATAACACAACAACTGCAAAGAAACTGAAAAAGTCTAGTAAAAAAAACACAGCTGAAAATTCATCGAATAATTCGAATAGGATTTGTAATAATCAGTGTTCTAATAACGATTATTCATTTCAAACTTGCGATTAAACAGTGCAAAACGCCAACGTTTTTTGTGATTTAACAGTCGGGCTCAATTCTTTTCTGGTAGTGGTTTAACTTTATTATTTGTTTAAGCTGAAATCGATTTGAGCAAGATTCTCACTGACGACTATAATGTATAAAATATGATTAGAAAAAACTGAAAATCCTTTTTTTGTTTCCCCAGCAAATGGCTTATTTATTTTTTTGATTGTAACGAACTTGTATTTTTACATGGTTTACTCACTTTCATATATTTAGATTATATATGTACTTCGATGTTCTTGATAAATAATGAATAAACAATTTACTAATTTTACCGCAAAGAAGCTATTCTCCATATAAATACTGATTTAATACCTTTTTCTGTAAAATAATATGTCTAGAATGTAGTATTTTCGCCAAATCATAGTAAAAGTGAATCGATTAATATAAGAGTAGAAAAAAGTAGAATGAATGTAAAGTATTATTGGTTAAATAATGCAAAAAATCATCGTTATCTAGTTAAGAAAACTGTACATGTTGCAGAAGAAATGAAATTTGAAAAATGAGAGTAGACACCGTTCTATTGCAATGTGACCCGTTCAACATTAAAAATTATCACATTAAATGAATAATCTTGATAGCTCCAAACTTACTAGAACTATTCGATCAAATAGCAACAACATTATGTTTGAAATATGAAAGTATTATTGGTAATTAAGAAAGTATGGGTATGGGTGTGTAAAATTTTTGTAATGATGAATCTATTGGCATACATTTTCAAGTTAATTAAAAAGAGTAAAATTAAGTAGATTCATATCTTATTAAATTTTATTCATGGGTTATGCCAATGCCGGACTTGGCTAAAATTGTCATATATGTAGTATTGCCGTTTCTGAGATGTATAGTCACTTCTTCTCTTGACATTTAATATTTAAAAGAATTAATATTGAATATTTAAGTAGTTCCACATCTAGAAATAACCTATAAATGAATCTCACATGAGATGCGATAAATCAAACTTCATTTTCACGATCAAATAAAGCTTTACTCATATACACGATAAAAATTATTGATTGCAACATTCAACAAATTGTTAAATTGTAGTACAGATAAAATTTTTCATCTCCTTTTTTTTGTTTAATAAAAACATTCTATGATCAAAGGATGTCGTCATTATTGATCAAATACTACAAGAAGAAATTAAGAAAACAAGATAAATTACAATGAAACTATTTCTTCTATGCAATACGAATGAATTAGCATAATTAGTTTCAAAACATTTAAAAAGTTCGACATGAATATTTTCGATAGTATTATAAATCTGTCGAGTTAAATTAATCGGTAGAGTTGTATCGGCATTCGTAAGTACAATAACACCAATATTATGCTTTTCATTAACTAACATCAAATGTGTCATGCCTGGTACACATCCACTGTGACCTACATATTGATGACCATTGCTAAGTGTTCTCCAATGCCAACAAAGTCCATATCTTCGTGGCGGAAGTTGATCTGTAGAGTTACTACTCGAATTCGTGTTATAAGGACGAATAAGACCATTACCAACAACAGTTTTCATTTCAGTAATAGATTGAGAAGAGAGGAGTGAAGATCCATTATTGATAAACATTCGAAGAAAAATAGATAAAGAATAAGCTGACATTCGCAAAAGACCAGCTGGATAACTACTAAAACCAAAAAATGGGAAATATAACCATGTTGAAAGATTACTCTGAAAAGAAAATTATTCTTAATAAAAAACAACAACAACAACAACAAACTATCGTATATAACACACATTTACCTCCATTTGTATCATATTCAATTGTGGTACTTCTCGGTTATATTGTTCAAAAGAAGATTCATTGATAGCATATGCATAATGTTTAACGAGTTTGTCTGTGTTTGGAAAATCAGCTAAGCGAATACCAGTTTTGTGAATATCAATATTTAATGGTTTGAAAATCATTTCTCTAACATATTGATCATAGGACATATTAGTGATTCGTTCAACAACAAGTGCAGCCAACGATGTACCTTCATTAGAGTAAAGTGTTACATTTCCTGGTGGTCTTGGCAACCAATTGGATGTGTTAGGACTCAAAACTTTGAAACACATATCAGCTAAAGTTTCTTCAGCAAATACACTATCACCTAGTTGATAAACAGTATTCTGTAATTTTTCATTAACAGCAATCGATGAAGAATGTGAAAGTAGTTTACGTAAAGTAATCGAATGATTTGGATAATTTGGATGAAAAATTTTTCGATTTCGTTCTGACAAATATTGATTAATATCTGTATCAAGATCAACAAGTTTTTTTTCGATTAATTGCATAACAGCAACAGCAATAAAGGTTTTTGAAATAGAAGCAAGTGAAAAAATGGATTCATTCACATTCATAAGTTTTGGTGGTAATAGAGAATGATAACCAAACGCTTCTTCATATAGTATATCGATAGCATTGACAACAACAATGACTGCACCTGGAATATGCACTTTGAAAAGAGATTCTTCGATCATTTGTCGATTTGGACAATTTGAATTGCTGCTAATACTGATAAGGAAAACAGTAACAAATACAAATGAAAACATCATGTTTTGATTATATAAGACAAATAAGAATCTCTTTTATATTACTACAAGGATTATGAATCGAAGAAGAAAAAAAAACATCTAATAATGTCTACTTCTGATTATTAGATTTCTAGTAAAAAACGAAAGTGTATATAATGGCTAAAAATGATGTTGATATTCAAAAGAAATGAAGAAAGATAAATATATATGTATATATATATATATGTTTGGATTTTGATAAATGGTATTTGAGACAAAGTTTGTCAGGTGTTGATCAAACACGTCAATCGTCACTCAGCTTTAAATAAACAATTTAATTAATCATTACTGTTAGTACAACCATATGCATATCCACAAATCTATTTGTATCTGTTGATTATTTTTATCTATAGAATAGTTATTACAAAGCAAGTCGAAATGATATTTAACAGCATAAAGATTGCTGAAATTTTAAAATTTCTGAAGAAAAAAAATCACCCATTGTCTTTTCTTTTTTTGATAAGAATAATATCTCTTAGGGACTATTTGCCTCTTCATGAAAAGAAAAAAATTTCTACGTAGATATGATGATTGTTCAATCCTTTTTACTGAAAAAATTTCGTGATAAAGTAATACATAATCCATATATTATTAATTCACTGAACTTTATTTATTTAAACATTTTTTTTTCTATTTATTACATATATATGAGTGACAGTACATGATAATTTACTTATGCTTATGTTTCACCTAAATGTATTTGATTATATCATTTATCTGGCCTAGTTCTGTTATCTTTCAAACGGTCTTATATCAATTTTCTACTTGAAAAATGAACAAATAATTTTTATGGATCATTTGAATAAAAATGAGAAAATATTTACTGAAAATAGATGTCAAGTTGATTCTGTATGACAAACAAAATCGATAGATGTCATTTTAAATTGAATATTTTCCTAAAAATTGCTTCGGAAAAGATAAAACACGTTTTAGTTTTATATACAGCATTTAGAATAGAGTCTATATTTAGCTAAAGCTTTTTTTTTAATTTTTACAGTAAATGATGTTTGAAAATGTTTCTAATTAATTTATCACATCATAATAATTAATCGTTAATTCATTTCAAGTAAATGAATTTCATATAGCTGATCATGCATTTCTTTTTGTTGTCATATTATCACTAATGATAAATATTTTAGTTATATAGACAATGCTGATGTGTTCTATACCATAAAAGAACAGATATAAAATATAATATTCTTCCAATGTAAACATATTTACACATTGAAAATAAAACAATACTATTTGTTCGATCGTTATAATATCAAAGAAATATTTTTCTTCATAAACTTACTTCAGAATAATTTTTTTAATGAAGAATTTTGCTTTTTCTTTCAAAGGAAAAAAAAATTTTTTTCTATGCCCGAGGACAGAATTGAACTGTCGACCCCTGGTTTACTAGACCAGTGCTCTAGCCACTGAGCCACACGGGCGTACTTAATATACATTTTATTTTTTATGTTATTATTTTCTTCGTACCCCTGCACGCCTCTTGAAACATATCAATATGAATCAAAATGTAACAGATGTCTGAGTATGCTATTATCATAGAATAAAAATAGTATTCAGATCAAAAAATATAGAGATTTATTATTATTTCAATTGATGAAATGAAAAAAGATTCAAATCATCAAATACAAGTTAAAATAAAATAAAATAAAATGAGATAAGATCATTGATTTTACTTAAGGGAATCAACACCCTTACGAATAATTGAACAACATTCAAGCACTTGCTCTTTTGTTATATTCAATGGTGGAGCAAAACGTATTTTATCACCATGAGTTGGTTTTGCTAAAAGACCATGATCACGTAAATGTAAACAAAGTTCCCATGCATCATATCCTAGAGAAACAGAAAAAAAAAGAAGAAACATATACAAATAAACAAAAAATGACTAAATTCATATTTAAATCACATACGTGAATCAATAACAATGGCATTAAGTAAACCTTTACCGCGAACTATTTTAACTTTATCTTTTGGTAATCGATTTAATTCTTCACGTAATAATTCACCCATTCGAGCAGCATTTTCAATCATTCCTTCTTCGATTAAAACCTAAAAATACAAGAATTTTATTTTCAAATTTCTTTTGTTTTTGTTTTTGTTTTGAAAATTTACTTTGAGAGCAGTAACAGCAATACGAGCACCTAATGGATTTCCACCAAATGTTGAGCCATGTGTACCGGGTGTAAATACATTCATAAGTTTATCCTGTGCTAAAACAGCTGATACCTATAGACACATAGAAAACATACATATATTCATTAATTTATTTTAATAAACTTACTGGATAGAAACCACCAGCTAACGCTTTACCAAGAATAAGAATATCAGGTCGAACATTTTCATGATCACTTGCCAATAATCTATAAAAATCTTAAAATTAAATCAATTAACTAATCAAATATTCTTACTTTCCAGTTCGACCAAGACCAGTTTGAATTTCATCACCAATCCAAAGAACATTATGTTTCTTACAAATATGTTGAACACCAGCTAGGTAACCATCATGAGGAACAAATACACCTACGAGAGAAAAAAAGACAGAAACAATATTCATATTCAATCATAATCAATTATTCTTACTGACCAGCTTCACCTTGAATAGGTTCAACCATAAATGCACATACATGATTATCTCTGCATGCTTCCTTATAGACAAAACAAAACAAAAAAAACTTGTAATAATCAATTTTTTTATTACATTTAAATTATTTACTTCTAATGCTTTTAAATTATTATATGGAATGATTTTAAAATTAGGCATATATGGTCCATAACCTTCATAACATGATGGATCTGTTGAACTTGATACAGCCGCCAATGTACGACCCCAAAAATTATTTTCAGCAAAAAGTACAATAGCTTCATTCTTTGGTGTGCCTTTAACATTATATGCCCATTTACGTGCTAATTTAATAGCTGTCTCTCCACCTTCGACACCTATTTTGGAGAAAAAAAAATGTGAATATTTATTGTTACAATAAATTTGAATGAACGCACCGGTATTCATTGGTAATAATTTATCATAACCAAAAAGTTTACATGCATACTCTTCAAATTCACCGAGGGCATCATTATGAAAAGCTCTAGACGTTAATGTTAATTTTTCACCTTGTTTTTTTACTACTTCAAGAATTTTCGGATGACAATGTCCTTGATTAACAGCTGAATAAGCCGAAAGAAAATCATAATAACGATTTCCATCTATATCCCATACAAATGGACCTAGAAAAATTATTGATTTATTTAAGATGATATTTTGCTTTTTTTTTAAAATACATACCTGATCCACGTTGAATAACGACAGGTAATGGATGGTAATTTGCTGCTCCGAAACGTGTTTCACGATCAATAATCGATTGAGTTTTAGATGATATAGGTTTTGCTGTTGATTTAACTGATGATGAACTTGCTGAAACTATACATCTGTTGAGAATCGATTTTGAAGGTGATAACAATTTACGATACATCTAGAACAATTAATTTAATAAAAATTTTCATACTAAATATATCAGTTAATATTTTGCTTTTTAATATATTCGAGAGCTCCAACCATTTTGAAAAATTTCCGGAACCGGAATCGGAACTACGCTTCCGAATACAATTCCGTTTAATAAAAATAAAAAAATAAAAGATTCCAATTATCAGTTTCTAGAGAACATCCTGGAAATCAATGATCTGTTGACACTATTCTGAAGAACTTACACTTATGATTGTTTATGTCTACTTTGTATTGGAAAAAAGGAAACAATTTTTTTTAACACATAAAATAAAAAGACAAAGAGCAACTAAGATTCAATCAAATTCACGATGAAGACGCTTTTGGTTTTATCGATGTTAAACTTTTTTTTTCTCATGGATTGGAATCTATTTATAACTGTAATAAAGATTTCTTTTTACTCTTTCTATAAATACATGTAATTGAACTAATTGTTTCATAATTCAATGTAGTATATTAATAGAAAATTTTCTCCAGTCAATATTCTATAACAAAGGGAAGTTTAACATGACTTAAACATATGAAATTTAGTGTAACTGTATCCAGGCTCCACGCGAAGGGTCACAATTGGGGGAGGGAGGGTGGATGTAAGAGAGTATGTTCGAAAGAATTCCGTAGGGATAATGTGAAATATAGGAAAAACTCCGCACCTTTCGCTGGAAAAAATTGAAAATTTTCGATTATTGGGGGAGGGCGGGGGTGTACACTCCTCTACACTCCCCGCTCGTGTGGAGCCTGACCTTATCATTTGATGATACTCAGCAAAATTTCTCGATAGTCATTGTATTACAAATATAAATAACAGAAGTCTGGAGTGTCCTCTGAAGTACTACATAGTATCGGAGTATTGGAAAATGTCGCATAGGTTTTATGAATTTTGTACACTCATTAGAGTAGTTATCAAGCGTATTAATCTCTCGCACGGAATATTCCTGGTAGTTACTCTTAGAAAAGAATCTTCAGTTCTATCTTTTGAAAGGATGATTATATCTAAAAGTTGAACATACGATTCTGAACTATAGAAAATGTAAAACTCAGAGTTTTGTTCTGTTTTCAGGTCATGAAGTCCTAACATATATTTTCTCACATAAACTCGTTTAAAATACTGACTAGTAGAAATTTTTTTTGTTTCATCTATCGAACACGAAAATTACTTTGGCAAATTTGATTTGTATCGAAAAAAACAAATATATTTTGTCGGGGAAAAATGAATGTAAAAAAGAGTGTATGTGTATGTATGTTTTTTCATATTTTGTACTCACATGTCACCTACTTTTTTTTTGCAATCCAATTATGGCACATATATGAAGAGGCCGCTATAAACAATGTTTAATAGTTAACCAATCTTCGATTGAAGCAGACAATGGTTGTCAAATTACATGCGAAGTAAAATTTGTTCGATAACGAACAACAGAAAAAACATCTAAAGAAACAAAAGACAAATGGTTTCATTAGCAAAAAAATCACCTGAAGAACGTTTAAATATTTGTCGTAAATATTATTTAGGTGGTTTTGCTTTCTTACCACTTCTTTGGCTTATCAATACTATTTGGTTTTATAAACAAGCATTTAAAGTTGAACCATATCCTCAACAAGCTGAAATTCGAAAATGTAAATATTTTTTAAAAACAAACTTTCTTTGTTTTATTTTATTTATAATTGATTTAAATTTTATGTAGATGTAATTCGAAGTGCAATTGGTACATTTATTTGGTGTATTATTATAATTACATGGAATGTAATATTTCAAGTATTTCGTACTAAAATGGGTTCTGCTGGAGATTATTTAACATTTGTTGTACCACGAGGATATTATTAATTTTATTTATATAGTTTTTTTTTTCTTGTGTAATTTTAATTTAATTGATTTTGAATTGTTTTCTTCGTTCTTTATGAAATTTTTGCAGATATAAATAAAAAAGAAAACAAGAAAATATGATTCATGTGTTTGTTTTAGATAATTATGGTGAGTGGATGTTTAATAAAATTGAAATAAATTATTCATTACTCTATTCAGAGTACAGCAGTTGCTATTGGAATTGGTTTAGCTGTTGTTGGATTTACAGGTAATAGATGAACTAGATGAATTGTTTGTGAAGGTTTTTTTTTTTCTTAAGGTCGTTATCTTGTTCGACATGGAAAAATAATAGCAGAAAGTTTGAATAAAACAAGTGGAGCTATTGCTGAAGGACTTTCAGTAAGACTTTATATTGATTCTTTGTTTTGTCTTTATTAATTTTTTTTTGTAATTTAGTCAAAATATTATAAAGGTGGATTTGGTAAGAATTAGAAACATGAAACAATCATCTTTCGAGATTTATTTTTCTTATTTCATTATAAATAGATCCGAAAATGAATCGACGTGAAGCAGCACTTATATTAGGTGTTAGGTAAGATTTTGAGTATGCGCACTGATTTCATTTTATTATTCAATTTAATTTTGTTTCAAGTCCAACAGCAAATAAAACACGTATACGTGATTCATATAAACGATTGATTGTTCTCAATCATCCAGATCGAGGTAAACGTTAGAATATCAATATAAAATTTGTATCTATGCGTCTTCTTTCTTTTTTATCTATATTAGGTGGATCACCGTATATTGCTGCAAAGATTAATGAAGCAAAAGATTTTTTAGAAAGTGGTGCCAAATGAACTATGAACAAAATGTCCTGTTTTTAGTAATCAGTCAAGCTTTTGTTTGATTAGAAAAAAAGAAGATCTTGTATTTTGTTTTTATATTTGATAAATTTTTTTTCTATGATTTATCAATACTGTTGGATTTAGTATGTTTTAAAATCGTTTTCTTAGATATACATAGCGATTACTTTACGTTGATTGATTATATCTCAGAAATATTTGCTGATTTAATTCATTCATATATGTAATTTAAAGAGATGAGGAAAAACTCACATAAGCATTTATGGAGATACGAGTTTTTCTTATTTGCAAGGGGAGGGAAGGTGACCGTGGTTGTTTATCGTTACAGACCAATAGTTAGGAAACAGCGACGGCACTTTTGCGTCACTGGTAAAAGGCAGATTAACCGAAGGCAAAATAGTAAATTATTTATTTTTAAGAAAATAGAAAGTAATATTTAATTAGATTTAACTATAGAAGAATGTGGATGGGAAAAAGAACGAGATGCACATTTATGAGCATCTACACATAGACCGTGAAGAAAAAAGCCATTCACTGTTATACATTTTTTTTTCGCTGAATGAACACCATATTAGTGGCTGCGTTGTTCAAATCTCAGTATTACTAGTTATGAAATGACCCTTGACAAGTCAGTAACACATGTTTGTCGATCAATAGCATGCTAATTATGTTGTGACATATGTATCTGCTCTTGCGGTTAGTTGGTGTGTATGGAGAATTTAAGTAACAACACTCAAGATCTCTACATCCAGGTAGCCTTCTGCTCATGGCTATAGCTAGTATTAGTTGTATGAATGATATTGTGCTATTAAATCTATCATTAAACAACGGGGACATTCTTCCTCATTTGCATAGATTGATTCGATTATCAATACAGTTCTAGACGAGTCGACGTGAAAAATTTTTAAAGAATTCAGAACGGTACAGATAGATGTTCGCCTAGAAAACACTTACACCCACAAAGTTTAAGGTCGAAATTCTTCTGTCTAGTTTTCTCCGTAAATATCGTACCAAATAGAAACTATAGTGTAACGATCGTAATTCCAAAAAAGGCACTGAGTGAAAATGAATTCTTCTAATCTTTGCAGGGTCTATGTAATTACTGAAGTTTCGTTTCAAGCATGAAGGATCAGTTCGGCTGGTTTCCTCATGAGAGAAATTTTTCGAACCTAATCCTATCCTACAGGATAGGTTGATCCTACATGTTTTTATCCGTCAGCTACTTCTTATTTGTAAGACGTGTTTAATATGAAGAGTTTTTTTTTTCTTATCTCATTTCAATTAACTAGAATAAATAGTGAATACCTAGTCAAGAAAAAAACTTATTTTCTTTTACAAACACCGTTCAGTTTTCTTAATCAAATCATTATTATTGAAGTAAAAGATGTATATTGGAAAAAAAAATCAGGTTTCAATTAAGCAGAAACTTCATTATTATAAGTGTTATTAGGATTTTTTTAATATTAAATATCATTTGGAAAATGACAAAACATCTTATGAACTCATCTGTTTGTATTTCTTAAAGTATCATAACCGTTAAGATTTTTCAGATACGTATATATATATATATAATACATTACAATTGTCGTCAGGAAAAACATGACTTATTTTTTCCGGTTTGAAAAATAAAGATTCATTGAAGCTTTAATAAAATGAAAAATTCTTTCCAATAGTCTATCATAGAATAAATTTGCACTTAAAACATGCCAAAAAAAAATTTTTATATTGTCTTGTATACATAAGTAAACGATTCGTTTATATTTGATTGAGTTCAATGAACTCGTCAATAACAAATAAGAGTTTATAAAAAATACAATAGTATTATCATACGTATACTTTGTCCTTCTCACTGATTGGTATTTGATTCGTATATATTTTATTAATTTGTCATATCTAAATATCGATGTAAAAAATGTATAACATATTTCTATGTGTGTGTGTGGGTGTTTTTTTTGCAAAAGATAAATTGCATACAAAATAAAATTACTATATGGGTGTATGCACTATTATCTGTTGTTGCTTTTTTATTTGTTTGCTAAGGAAAAAAAAGAAAACGAGAAAAGAAGAACGGCATGCAATCAAAGGGACCTTCCTTGCTTTCATTCCCTATCGTTCTTTCTTTTTTTTTTTTTTTTTTATATACTACCAACCAGTTAACGATGCAAACTATGTCTTTTTTTTTCCTCTTCTCTATTTCTTATTTCTCTTTCTTTTATAATGCCTTCGTTCTCGTCAGATGATCATCAAAAAAAACAGCGACTCAGTATTTTACTCATAGCGATTCATATACATGATGACGTGTCAATCTATCGTATGATTTATGTTGAATACAGTCATTTGATACATATATATGTATATTATGTAAATTTTTAAATATTTTTAGATAGACTTTTTTTTTAATATTTCAATCATGACGATGAAACGTATTCAACCAGATTGGTCATTTAAAATTTTACTTATTGGTGATAGTGGTGTTGGTAAAACATGTTTAATGTTTCGATTTGCTGGTATGTATAGAATTATTGATCTATTTCTTTTGTAATTACAAAGTGTTAAATCTTTTTAATCTTCATATATACATATATATTAAATAATTCAAATCAGCTGCTTGTATGAGAAAAGGTCAAGGTTTAAATTTTCTATATTGTCTTTTTTTTAGTTCTGTGTCAGCATGATCTAGTAGTAGGGTTATATAACTAAAGAATTCTATGAGACTTTAAACCGGAAAAAAGAATCAAAATTAATAAATATATTAAGTGAAGAAAAGCAGCTTGTATTTTTCTTTTGAAAGTATTATTTTACATATGAGGTAGAATAGAATTAATTGTAAAATTTTTATTGATAAACAAGAATATATTCTTCGTAGAATTAGTCTATTATTAATATACCACTAAACTAACAGTTATATTGAATGTTATAACTATGCTTTACATAATGTTTTTCTATTTCTCGTCTAATAGACAACATGTTTGCTGAATCATTTACACCTACAATAGGAATTGATTTTAAAATAAAAACATTACGTGTACGAGATAAAACAGTTAAACTACAACTATGGGATACAGCTGGTCAAGAAAAATTCTTCAATATAACTCGATCTTATTATGTAAGTTAAATTTAATATTCAGATGTTCTTGTTTTTTTCTTCTTATTAATTAATATGTTTCTTTTTTTGTTTGTTTGTTTGTTTTTAAAGCGTAATGCTGATGCAATAATTCTTGTTTATGATCGTACAGATGCAAGTTCATTTCAAAATATAGCACGATGGATGAGAAATATTGATGAAAATGCTCCTGATGATGTTGTACGAATATTAGTTGGTAATAAAAGTGATCTTCATGATCGTCTTATTGTATCAACACATGAAGGAAAATTATTAGCTGATAAATTTCGTGTTGATTTTTTTGAAACAAGTGCAAAATCTGATACAAGTCCAACTGTATCAAAAATGTTTTATTTTCTAACAGAAAAATTACTTGATCAAAAACAAGAAGCTGCTTTACGTGAACAACAATCAACATCAATACATCAAACAGGAAATATTAGTTTAACAAATAATTCATCAGAATCAACGTATGGAAAATTACTTGGTTGTTGTTCATCAACTAGGACTGTCGATGATTGAAATTTTCTTTTCTTTTTTTTTTCTATTCATTTGTCTTGTACATATACGTATATAAGTATATATATACATATATATATATTATCAATGTTTATAGTCTAGCATTCTATTCTTCTTGAAAAGTCTAATGTATTATGTTTTGGACATAATTTATTCAAATGAAATTTCCCATATATTTTAATGTCATAGAAAATGTTGACAGTAGACTTCAATATGACATAAATAGAATTTTATTTTGAGTTATTGAATCATTCTGAGAAATCTAAAAAAAAAAAAGAACGAACCAGTTCATCTAGTTGTTAAGAACTTAAACGTATATAAAACAATAGATAAATAGAATTCAATATATTCGAATATTGTCATGAGATATTTATTAATCTATTACGTCGAAAAAAAAACACAATTAATCGTTATTCTTTGTTAATATAAAAATTTTTAATAATTTTTTAAGATTTCATAAATGTACAATTCTAGTTAAGTTCATTCTCTTCAGTTTTAGAAGATTTATCATGGATAATTTCACTTGAGAAAACAACAGGTGCTTATCTGTTATCAATTGAATAGTACGTCATTTGCACCAAATTCAATGACACTTATCAATATACACCATCATCGACATATATTTGTATAAATTTCATTTGTCATGTTCAAGCAATATATTCTTTATAAAACTGAATAATATGCTATTGTATTAGTTCATTCATGTATTTCGTTTGAAGTATAATAGACAGAACAAAGAATTGATTTAAAATTCATTTATTAACCTTGGCAACTAGAGATAAATTGTGACCGACATCCTTTTACTTCGATTTCATATTTCTACACCTAAACTATTAGACTTTTATAGAATAGCTCTCTGTTACATTTAGAGTTACATAATTATATTTGAATAACATGAAAGGTGTACTACTATGTTAAGAACTTGTTTTTATTAAATATTGATTCTATTCTGCGTAATAATACTAAACCAATCGATATAAATCGTCTCAATCAAATATACTTCATTCTATTCAAATAGAATCATTCATAAAATATTATAAACATGTTAGCAGTTCAATCATGTAATAATAATTATGTAACATCTAATCTTATGCATGGCAACAACATATTTCTAATGATCAATTTATGATTATTTGTAGTTGTTACGTTTGAAGGTTCTTGAAACAATTATGAAAAAGTAAAAAGTCTCATTGACGTATCACCATACAATTATTTATATAAGCTTCTTAAAATACTACAAATTTATTTTCAAGTACTTATAAATAACTAAAGACTATAATCTATTGATTAAAACATCAAATTATTGTGTAATTCAATATTTGATTTGAGAGATAAACTAATATTTATTTTGTTGTTTATTCAAAAAAAAAATAATTTCTCTCATATAACTACATATTCTTTCATGATTCATTCGATAAATACTAGTCGAAAAAAAAACTTGTTAAAAATCAAGTATGCGTTATTCTTTTGAATTTGATTACCCTTTAGATACATGAAATATGATGAATTTCATAATAGTTCTTTTACTTCAAAATTGTTCTATACTTTTTCGTTAGTGATTAATCTATAGAAAGTGTTCTAGATTTATATGTTTCAATACAATTATTTCGTGAATATATTTTACGTATTATAATTTTAATAAGGCGAACAATGAAAATAATTAATAACAAAATCAAGAGTTAATCGTATTCAACAAAATTTAATACTTATTAAAAAATTTGTATTTAATATTTCATATTAAATTACAATAGATGATATTTTGATTTAGATTCAATAATATATTAGAATTTCATATCTATACAACTTTTTATTTATTACAAATTAGTATATATGAGACTGTGGAAAATTGCAAATTATGATCAATTTTTATCAAGTCTTTGATTGTTAACTTCTGAGTTTCGAAGAAAAAATATCAGAAAATGGAAATTGAATAAGAAATGTTACTTCTACGCATTCAATTACTATTTTAAATGGTACAATGACAGTAATTTTTCGTTTTACTCCAATGTCGTATTCTTAAACTTATCTTCTGATTGTTCTGCAATTTTCGAAATGGTACGATTCAAAATAAGAGTTAATTACTTTAAATTTTGAAGAACTCTGTTAATTTATAGAATTTTAGTCACCATGACTGTGTTTCTCAACAAACTATTGTGTTCAAACCTCAATAGAGTTGCCAACTCCAGACGACTCGAAGGCAGTACATAATTATGTCAAAAGAAAATGATCCAGCATTGGGATTATGGTTGAAAAAAACGTATTCATTAGTCAAGCAAATCCTATTATTTTATTTCATTATGCAAGATGTAGCGTGCAACATTTAATTATTTATGAGAAAATAAATTCACATTAATTCTATTTTGTCAAGAGGAAAAAAGTGAACATACTTCACTGTGTGCCCTCGATATATCAAAGCTATTCTTTAGAATTTGTTAGTTATTTCAAGTCTACTATTAACATGTGGTACGAACATATTAGTTTGAGTTTATTTTATTTAATTCTGACTGACAATTCATCTTACTTCATAATTTCTTATATAAAATGAGCCCAAAGTATATGGAGGTTAATATTAGACTTGAAATAGCTAAAACATTCTAATAGAAGATAACTTTGACATACCATTGAAGTATGGAATTTTCGATTTTTCTCATAAATGTTTTTTTAGACAACATGGTAAAAATCTTTCAGTAGAACATATACTAACTGTTCAATTCAACTGGCGCCAAGTGTTTCATATAACTGTATTTTTATTTACTTCTCGTAACATTTGGTCATTTTTGATTAATATTGTACGAATATATAAATTCAATTTAATGAAATTTTCAATGTAACAGCAACTATATTAATTATGAAATGTGGGGTTGATGTTCATATGACTGAGATCGCCTTCTGAAAATACATTCAGGTAAGAAATTGAATAGACGTTTGTGCTCTAATTGATTGCGATCATACAATCTGTATGTAGTGTTAGAATACTTCTTTTTGATTTTCATAATTGTTTATATATAATATTTGACAGTTCTAGACAACTTACTGACGATTATTTGTCTCAAATCATTCGTCCGATAGCATGTTGTGACATACATCTATTTTTGTCATTAGTTACTATGTATGAAGAGTGTCCAGAGCTATAGCTAGTATTAATTGTGCAGATAATTAATTGATTAACATTAACAATTACAAATAATCAAAAAAGATATAATCGACTCTCAATATTTTAATAATGAAAGTTTAGATACATAGCAATTTTTAGAAATAAGGAAGTGTTGATTTATAATTTTGTTCATGTTAATTTGATAAAGAAAGCGAAAAAAAAATATAGAGAGAGAGACAGAGAGGGAATACAGGCATTAATTATCGCGTTTATATACACAACGAAAAGAACAAAACAATTAACTAGACTGTTCGCGTAGGAAGACAAGCCTAGCAATAGTTTGAATAAAGATTCTTTTATTATTTTATATGATTGCGAAGTAAACGAAGAAATTCGTCACGATTTTCTGGTGTTAATTCTAAGACTTGTTGTAAAATTTTATGTGGTGATGCAATACGTGCAAATGTTGATATATAAACATTAGTAAATAATGCCATAATTATTTGACAATCAAATCGATCCTATTGAAGCAAAAAAAAGAAAAACAAAACTCGAAAATTCAATTTTATAAAAAAAAAAAACAAATATAAATATTTACCATAAATCCTCCATGTCCTGGTATAGTTGCAGCAAAATCTTTAATACGAAAAGCTCGTTTAAAACCACTTGCAAAAAATCCTCCAAATGGTCCAATACTTGAAGCAAATAATGAAAGTATTAATGAATGTAATTGAAATGGATATAAATCAAGTGTACGTTTAAAAAATGAAAATGGTTTTGGCATTAAATATGTTGTCTTTTGAAATAATTGTAATGGTAAACATGATGTTGATAAACCCATTATTTCTTCATTATATTCTAATGGACATACAAGTGTTTGATAATTACTTAATATTCCAGCAAATATAAAACCAAATATTAATGTTGATATACCACCACCAATAAAACCTTCCCATGTTTTTTTTGGAGATAATTTTGTTAATTGTGTTCGACCAAAGAAAAAACCAAACATATATGCCATAATATCATTACAAATAATTAATGATACAGGAAAAAGAAACCAGATCATACCTAAAATAATTTTAATATAATATTAACATGATTCAGAAATTATTCATATAATGTTTATTAATTGAAATAAAAAAAAAAACAAAAAATTCACATATTGATGAACAATTAGAATAAACTGAACACGAAAGATTCAGTAAGATGATTATTTTCTTAGTTTCGATTTCATTGCAATAATCTTAGAAAGTGTTTTTAAATGAATTATGTTAAAAGGAAATTATTGGTTTTAATTCGCATTTGAAACTGTTCATTCTGTTTATTTAAGTTTCGGCCAGAAAAGAAGTATTTAAAAATGATCGTGAAATATTCTCTTTGACTAACTATTGATTCTAATACGAGTTTATATTAAATATTAAAAAATAATTCTAGAAGAAAGTATTTTTCATGTTCTTCACTACGAATGGATCAGAAAACATCCGAATTGTGATGAAAAATGCTACTTTCATATCAGTTATCAAAGAAATTTCGAATAATCTTCGGTGCAAATGATTATACTCGTAGTATATATTCATTTATCAAATATCAGAATAATTAGTACGTATAAATAAATAAAAACAACGTTTTCCGACTTATAAAACATAACCAACGAATAATAAAAAGTTAAATTTATAATCAATTGAAAGCTCGATACGAGATTTGTGAAACTGCTTGGTCTGATGCTTTATTGTTGTAAATTAGAGATGTGTGGAAACATTTTTTTTTCTTGGGTGCTATTCCTAATCTAGATAAAACTATTCTAGAAATTCCATGTATCATATCTAAAAAAAAACAATTTTTCAATATATCTATTTCGCCAAGGATTATCAGTTTTTACGATCATCTCTTGAATTATCTTTTCATCAATATAATTCAACAGATAATTTGCTCAAGTCTCCACCCTACGAAAAGGTTAATTGTTATTTGAATTATTGAAATTAAGATAAATATATAAGAAGATAGACACAAGGTTTGATCATTCATACACGGCATGACCTTTGATTTGACATCTCATTCTTTCAAAAGTTTTTGATGATTTATTTCATCAATTACTTGCACATTATGCTTTTTTTTCAGAAAATAGTAAATCTCTATGTTAGAAGCCTTGGAAGAATTTCACTATAGTGAATTCGTTTTATTTATTTGTCGAAAATAGTATGTGATTCTGTTGTGCCTGATTGAGGCATATTTTTTAAATAATGCTTTTTGTTATTATTGAATAAAAGAGTGTTTCTATAATTAGAGCTCTTGACATGCTCTTTTTATTTTAAAATAATTATACTTATAGACTGAAGACACAGAGAGAATTTTGAATTGATCAATGAGCTATTTTAGAGGCCAAATATCAAAGTACGTTCGTGAAGTGACATACATATCCAACACCTAGCTATCTATCGCAACAACTCGGGTTGAAATAATGTGCACGTAACGGCTCCAGTACATTTTTCACTATTTCCTCGCAATTAAAAAAAATCTTACTTTTAGCGAGTAAAATATGGTGCATACACGGACTCTTACTAGCTTAACTCTAATATTCAGTTTCAATTAGAAGAACTTTTCTTTTTTTCTGTTCTCAGCTTATCTTTACTCAAAAATAGATAATATTTACAAGTCTAAAAGAACATAACAGATATATTATCAGGTTAATCAGTTTTTTATCTCGAAACGCAATATGTTGACTTTTATTTTTATAAAAGAAATTTTTGAATATAGATTCATAATCAACATAATAATTTTCTTATTAAAAATTAAACATCTATAAAAAAAAACTCATATGACTCAGTATGATTCATAAACTTTGCCACGTTGAATTGATATATAAAAATGTTGAATCATTTTTGTTAAAAATAACTCACAAGAACTGACTTAATACAAATATTTACATTATCCTAGAACTAAAATTAAAATTTCAAATAAAATCTTCTAAATTATTTTCATAACAGAAATAGATATATAATTACAACAAAACAATCTCTTTTGCTAACTTTCTTTTTTTTTTCAAAATATTTTCTCCTTATGGATTTTTTTTCGTTGTAATTTAAATATACCTTCACAAATATTTTGTATCATTTGATGACTTGTTGTCACAAGTATCATTAATGTTATATGTGTATAACCAAATAATGTAAATTGTTTAAGATAATAAGTTTTTTTTAAACTTAATACAAAACCAACAAAACCACTTGTATATAAAAGAAATGCAATCATACGATGATATGTAACAAGTGGTTGAAGAAAATTATTTTTATTCATTAAAAATCCAAAATGATGTATTAAACTTTCACCATAAAGCCAATAATTTGATGTAAATAAAAAATACCATGATAATGTACGAAACCATGGTAAATTATGTGATTTATAAACAACATAACCAATATTAATAATTTCTTGAAAACATTTTATTTGTATAAGAAGTATAACTAATGAAACAATAAGTGGTCCCATGTCAATTAATTTAGCAAAACCAATAAGCATTATAAATGAAAATATACCACGTATTATCCAATTACGCCAACGTGGATTAAAACCACTTAATAATTGATCAGAATATTGCATAAAATCTTGAACTGATGATGGTTGAGCAATTATACTTGCACCACTTGGTTGAGATGGTAATGGTTCCATTTCATCATCTTCAGTTGTTGGTGCAGCACCAATATTATTTTCTTCTTTTATTAATTGTGTTACTTTCTTATTTAATTCACGTTCAATATTACGTTGATGAAGATTAGTTGTGTCCGAAGTTAATACGGAAGACATTGTATTTGTCAATGTACAAGAAAACCAAAAAAATTTTATCACAAATATAGTATAAAAGATTTATCTGAGAAAATCAATTCACAACAAAAACAAAAATAAGAAAGAACACTTTTCTAACTGTCAAGTTAATTGAAAACGGTTAAAATGACAAAAAAAAAGAAAAAACAACAACAAGTTATGTATGTATATATCTTCAGGTGTATACATAAAGAAACCAATAAAATAAGTAATAATTTATTCAACAGATGGCAATAGAAAACGGATTTTTACCTAAGTATTGAAAATGAAATTTTTCTTTGAAATCATAATTATTATGATGATTTATGCAGTGCAAATAATAAAAATACAATGGAGGTAGATACTATCAAGTGCTTCACAGAGTAGGACTACATGTTGTCAATGGAAACAGATCTCCGTGCGATTAGAGAATGTCTGAAATGCATCATGTTCATAAGCTTTCTTTTCAAACATATACTTATTTCATCAAGATTCTAGTCTATAGTAAGGTATTTGGTTGAATAATTGAACTATGAAATGTTGATTACAGATAGATTTCACGGTTTTTAGTACAATGCCTTGAGCCAAAATCAAAGACTATGAGTTTCCTTTATGAAAATTTATATCGGTTTTTCAAAGGAACACCTTCTATTTCGACTAGGTTTTCGTTAACATTTATTTAGAAAATGAAGTCTTTTGGTAGTCAAACAGGTTTTTTGCTGGAAAAAAAATAAAGCTTTTGGCAAATCCATAGACCTTCTATTACGTCTTGTGAGATCTTTCGTATGAGTAGTCTTCTAGTATAAGATGATCCGTTACTCCGAAGTAGTTCAATGTATTTTAGCTATAATGAAAACCGAAGAATTGTAATATCCATTCATAAACAAAGTTCTGCGTACATCATCATAATTCAATATTTCTTAGTTATCTAAAAAGTGTCCGGATTTAGTATCCACTATTTTCGTAGTGAAAAAGATAAAATTACTTGACGTCTATGTGTTTCTACTATGAAAATCATTATTAATCAAAAAAAAAAATTTCTTTCAGACAATTGCTTTTGAAAAATACAAAAGGCTATAAAACTTACATAATGTAACACTGCAAACGGTTAGAAAGTTTCAAAAGATTTTTTACACTGATCCGAACGTTACTCTAAAAGAAATTCTTATTACAATCACTTGTATCCGATGGCTAACACATTTCTCAGGTAGCCTTAATACGAACTTCGTAAGAATCAAATGATGATTGTTTTTTATTTTTGCGTGTAGTATACATCAGAATGCTTTTGTAACCTCTCAGGCTCTTATTTCGATTAATCCTGAAACTAAAACCATAATTCAAGAATTGAATCATTATTCTTGCTTATAAGATATTCGACAGACATAAGCTTTCTTTTACGAATATTTAATCAACTGAAATGTTTATTTCTTTTCTTAGTTTTGTATTTATCAGTTGCATTCATGAATACATTATAAATATTTATCAATGCTTATGTACATGCTATGAATAAATTTCGACAAAATAGAACATTACCGTTGATATTTCTAATGAGATTCGGTGTATCTATGAAACTTCAAATAGAAAATTTGTTTTCATTTCGATCATAATCATAACAATCAATACAAATAAAATTAGAATATTCATATATATTTGTGTAATAATAATTATCTGTCTTTATATATATTTGTTTTTAATATAAGGTAGAAGGATGAAACAAACACAAAATATATTTTTTTTTTGTCATAAACCAATATACAAAAATATAACAAGACAAGAACATTTAATGTAAATTTCGCTGAAAATGCGAAAAACGGCATATATGTATATATATATATATATAGTTAGGAACATAATTGGACTATATCAAATAAGAATAAACACGAAACAAAAGAAGAAGAAAAAAAAGAATAGAAATGAAAATGAGAAATTTTTATTAATTATCGTCTTTAATCATCAAATTTTCTAATAATTGACGAAAATAATTATCAACAACATTAGCACATTGAGAAAATGTTGAATTAATTGAATTAAATTGTCGACAATTGTTAAAGATTTTATTAACATCTCGTATATAATCACATACAGTTTTCAATTTACTATTCATTACTTTCGTTTTTAATGTTGTTAAATCTAAAAAGAAACAAAAATTATTAAAAAAATGAAAAACCAGACGATGGTTGTTAAACGATAAAAGAAAAAGCGGCTTCCTCTCAAAATTGAGTTCATCATCTCCAAAAGAGTCAAGTGTAATGATGATCGTCATGTTTCAATGAAAAATTTGCCTCTCGTAAGTATGAGAACAGCTATAACTGAAGTCTTCTACTATTGAATTGTGCAAGCAGTGATACATTTTGAATAATATACTATTCGATAGGCTTCTCTAAGCTCTACAAAATGGTAATATTCTGTTAAGGTGAATTTGTAGGCACGATACTTCGATCAAATGTACAATATTTATGAATGTTGTCAAGTGTCTTGATCAGATATTGAATTCAACGCAATAGGATTATTTTGTAGAGTTTTGAAAAATCTATCAAATGATATATTATTCAAAGTGTATCACTGCTTTCACAGCTCAATAGTAGGAAATTTTAGTTATAGTTATTACAATCATGTACATGATTCGGTAGAGAAAAAAAAAGAACTTTAATTAAATATATAGCTCAAAGTAAATCAATTGAGGGAACGACAGGAAAATTTTTCAAGAAAAAACTTGCATAGTATGAACTCAATAAACCATAAGAATAGGACCAAAATATTCAAAATCTTTAACTATTGCTGAGCAATAGTTGATGTTTTTGGATTATGTTGATCCTAATACTATCATTTATTGAGTAAATTTAGATATTTGTTTTATTAAAACGATCAACACAAAGAGTTCTGTCGAAATTCGAACGGGCATTGTCTACACTGTTTTATGAAATAATAAACTCAATTTCAAAAGAACACCGATTTTTAAGATCTCCTATTTTTGTTTTCTCATCTTACCCATAGGATCTTTTATAATTGTATAATAATTAGGTACATCTTTAATATCTACGGGTTTTTGAAATGGCCAAGCCATTTTATGTGCCTAGAAATCGAACAAAAAAAGAAATATATTAATTTTTTTTCAAATATTAAATTATATTTACTAATAATTGATCAGTAAGATTTAATAAATCTTTTTGCATTTCATTATTTATTGATTTATTAAGAAATTCTTGTTTTTTCTTTGTTGAACATCTTGGACAAACATAAACTTCAAATTTATCGGCATCTTCTGGTGTTATATTAACACAAGAACCATGTAACCAATCAGCACAAACATCACAACCAATATAAAATCTAATTAAAATAAAAAACAAATCTTCTTAAAAAAAGATTTTTTTTTGTTTTGTTTTATTACTTTGATTCATCATATGGTGTTTGACAAATACAATATAAACGTTCTTTAGCTTTTTGTGTTAAATATGTACAATCTTGACATATAAATTCTTTTAATTTTTCAGCAAGACGTGGTGTTAAACCAACACATGTACCATGTAACCATCGTGAACATAATTCACATTGTATAAAAAATTTTTCTGGTAAATTCGTTTGTTGACAACTACAATTAATATCTGAGAGATTAATTTCAGTTTTTTCTTTTTTATTCGATGAATTTTTTATTGTTATAATTTTTTTTGATTTTTCAGTAGATTTCATTTTAACTATTGTTGATGATGATGATGGTGATGAGATGGATGAACAAGATTTAGAATTTTTAAGATGATTTTCATCATTATTAAATGATTCTTTTTTTTCAATTGATACATTTAGATGTGAACGACGAGCTTTTTTTGATACAGGTTGTTGATCATTATCGGAAGTTTTCGTTGATGGAAGTGGACGTGTTCGTTTAGTTGATGTTCTAAATAAGATAAATATTATATTAAAAGTTGATATGTATTATGTTTAGTTTTAAATATTTATTAACAATCATGTTATTTTAACTTTAGTAAGTCTAGTAGAAAGTCTAATTGATCATTTGATCAATAGCTGATGAGAAATTTCAAAAAAAACATTTGTAAGAACTAATTATTCGCTTCTATTGTATTTATTTTGTTTACTTTTTAATTTTTTGTTCAGATAATTTTGATGTTTCTTTTCGTTTAGTTTTATTTTCATTTCCGGTACTTTTTCTCTGTTTTTTAATTGTAGGTGTTGTTAGAATATCAATAGTTTTTTCTTTATTATCATCTAAATTTGATTCTATTTGTTTAACAACTGTTGTTTGTTGTTGTTGTTGTTGCTGTTGTTTAAGTATCATTTGTTGTTGTTTAAGACGTTGTGTTTGCACTTGTTCTTTAACTAATGCTGTTTTTCGATTGAGACGATAAGAAATAAAATCTTTTCGAAGACTATCAACACGTTCATTTAATAAACGTGTTAAATTTATTTGACGATGATTAGATATTGATACTATTGTATTTGTATTTTTAAGACGTTTTTTCATAGATTCTTGATTTTGTTCACGTTCAATTTTAGTAATTATTGAACGAAGAACAGCTTCACATATTTTCATTCTAAACAAAATCAAAAAATGTATGTAATTACAAATGTGAAAAATGATAAAATTATTGTTGATCATCGTAGAAAAATTGTTTTATCCTATCAATTTTAAGATACATTTATTCTTTCATCAATGAATAGTTCATTATACATGAAAGTTTTCTTTTATAAGAAGATTAATAAACTATGTATTGATTCTACATATGAGATTCGTCTCAATACTATATAAATATTATGTAAGATAGACATTCTATGAAAGTTTTGTTCATTGGGAAGTTGTGAGAAAATTCTATAACCTCATTATAGTAAATATCTATTTTCGTAAAAGTGTTTAATATTAAATAAGAATCAATTGATATATATAATCATACCGAATGCCTTCTTCAAGATCAATTTTTATTTTTTTATCATCAACTATTGATGGTATTGGTATTGTTTTACGAAGATTTTTCGTTTTTTGTATAACAATAGGTGTTGATTCAAATTTAGGTTTTATTGTTGAACCATTTGTATCAATTGTAATTGTTTCACAAATAGTTGTTAATGGAGTATCTTCATTTGTTGTTGGTTGTTCAAAATGTACATTTGTCTCTAATTGTTGTTGTTGTTGAAGAAGTTGTTGTTGTTGTTGTTGAGCAAGAAGACAATGTAATAATTCATTTGATGTTTGAATTGTTGTTATAGGAGCTGGTGCTATTGGACGTAAACGACGTTCTTGTGGACTAATTGAAATTGTTTGTGTTTGAGATTTTGGTGGTGATGATGATGATGCTTTAATTATTTTTGAAATTCCATTATCATTTTGTTGAATTGTTGGAACAAGAATAATTTGTCCATCAGCTAATTTAACAACTGAAAATGATTTTTGTTGTATTGGAAGATTTGTTGATGATGATTCACTAGTTGTTTTAACAATAACAACTTTTCCACTTTCAGTATTTAATGTTGATTTTGGTTGTAAATGTGGTATACGAACAATAAATGGTCTAGCTGGTTGTTGTTGTTGAATTGTATTATTATTATTTATAATTGTTGTTTTCTTTTTTTGATGTTTTTTTCTATCATCATTTGTTTTTTTATGTAAACGTTTAAAATTTTTTTCTTGTAAACATTGATAATAATATTTTATTTGATTTGGTTGAAGTTGTCTTTCAGGTAACCATTGTTCAGTTAATATTAAACGATTTGATGTTAATATTGATGATGGATGTGGTACAGCACGACTACGTGATTTTGATATAGGTATATTAAAATTTGATGTTTCATTTGTTTGTGGATGAATTGTTTTACGTACAAAATATTCACAATAAGAATTATATGGACCTGAATCACGTTTAGCTAAAACTTGTATTGTTGTTGTTATACCATCATTATCAATATGTGTTGTTATTGATGATTCATCAATATTGGAAAGTTTTTCGGTTAGAAGATCCCATCTAGAATAAATTTAAAGTAAACATAAAAAAATTCTTTAAAAATAATTAAATATTTAAAAATAATAAATGAATATGGTAATATCTAAGATATACGAACCATTTAGGAAGAGAAGAAGTGTATGAAAATAGAAAACAAAAATTTCAAAACTAATTAGTCGAATATAGTTTTATTTCAAAGAAATTCTAGAAAATATATATCGATTTTTGATCTAAGAGAGTAATCTATGTAGGTTTTAGATGTGTCTGAATAACCTATTAGAAAGCTGCGCAGATCCAAGTTGTTTCAGATCCGGACTCGCAGCTCTCTATAACGATTCAGTTATGAGATCAACTTTTATGAGTAGAATATATTGTGAAACGTCATATCATAAAGTCCAGATGGGTCTGAGCTAATGAATGCATTGGATTAACTATTGCCCATTTCAAAAAAAAGGCGAGTGGATATTTTTTTGAATAAGTTTTGATAGAAGCAAGATAGAGAACTACGCTGGAAAGAGTTGATGAAAACACATTCAATAGTATATTATAGCCTTCTCTAAGATGTGTTTTTAAAGTTTTCTTAGTCAATTTTCTCAAAAATAAAAAATGCCGAAAAATTGATTTCTCTTAAAATAAGAAAAACACAAAAAAAGTGATTTTTTTTTCTCACAAACATTAATAAGAACAATCGACTTTTTTCTTCAAAGATATCGATTTAAATCCTTGAAAAAAAAACTAGATCAAATTATTCTGTAATATACAATTCGATGTATCTTCATCTTCTCTTTCCAACAGTGAGCACATAATATAAAAGTAAAATTGTCTGAAATTTCGAATAATGATCGAAGTGTTAGAAAATATTATAGAGTTATTTCGTCATGCACAAATTTTATTTATAATAAAAGTTAGTTTCGTTATATTTTTACATTTTAACACTATTGAAATACTTTTAAAAGCTGTTAGCGCAATTCCTACGAAATTGAAATGTAAAATATATAACAAAAAGATTAATACTATCATAATTTTCATGTTTTATCAAAAAAGGCAACTCTTTCTTTTTTTTTGTAAATAGATATTATAATTATCAACTAACCTTATACAATTCCATAAATATTTGATATGATGTGCAATTGCAAATAAAGAAGTACTTGTTTGTACTTTATAACACCATGCTGTTCGAACTGATGGTCTACCACATGGATATGGCCAACCAAATCTTGTACCAATACCACTTAAACGTGAATTAATAAAACCTGGTATATCAGTTAATGATATTGATGCTCGTGCAAGACGTCGAAGTAAATAAGATGGAAGAATAAATATATTTGGTAATATTTGTTTATTAAATGTAAATGTCCATGGTATTGGTAATTGATTTGTATTAATTGAAAATTTTTTTTCATTTATTAATGTTGTTGCAGCTGTTAAATGAAATGATCGACGTGTATCATCTAATATAATTGGATATCGATAAGATATACCATTATAATCAATTTTTTTATAATTAATAAATGTTAAATCATCAATTAAATCATCATTATCATCTTTAGCTGTTAATAATAAATTTTTTAATTCATTATCAATATTAATATCATTTCCTAAATCATTTTTAAGTTTATTTTCAATTAAATTAATTATACGATTACGTTCATTTAATATAGCATTAGACATATTTTCACGACGTATTAATAATGTATTAATATCAAATGTTTTATTATTATTATTTATTATTATTTTACGACGTGTAGAACGTATAAATGTCCATCCTTGACCACCAGCTAAACGATATTCTTCACCACGTTGTTTATGTACACTATGTTTTAATGGTCGTGTAAAATGTACATTTTGTATAATTGAATCAGCATCAATTTTTCGTCTTATAAATGCATCTTTTTCTTCTTTTTTAGCTTCATCACGTTCTTTTTCTGTTTCACGACGAAATTTTAAATAACCAACTTGATCTGTAAATAAATCAAAATATGAAACTGTTTTAATACAAGTTTCAAATTGTAATAAAAGATAAATTAATTTTGATAATGATAAATTTTCATTAAAATCAAGTAATTGTTTAGCCCATTTATATCGATAAACTTTCCAATATGAATGCATAAATGGTAATGGTATTGTATTTTCAAAATAGACTAATGTTATACGTATAATATCAGATAGATTTTTTAATGTATAATTTGATGTTATTGATAATGATGAAGAATACCATGAAAATGATGGTGAATGATTTATACTAAATTTACGTGCTAAATGTGCACGTCGATCACGTTCATTTAATAACATTTGTTTTCTTGTTGCAAGTGGATTTGTTTGATAATAATTTTCATAATGAAGATGACCTTCGGATGGAAGAATATCGTCTAAAAAAAAATGTAAATAAAATTTCTTAATATTGAGAGTATTTTATTGCATAAAAATAATATACTGTCGAACGAAAAAAAAACATCATATTTTATATTCATACGAAAATTTTTCTAGATGCAGCATTTTTATTCGGATGATCGTTTTTGACTAGAGATACTAACCAATGTTCCAATAAAAACCCTTCAAAGGATTTGACTTCTTATCAAGATTTAACGAAGGTAACGAAAATATTTAATATATGTATTATTTAGACACATTAGTAGGGGAGAATCTGGAAGCCACGCGACAAGCTCTAGATACTTCCGACATGAGACAAATGATCGTTGAGCAGATTCTCTATTCATTTTTGAACGTATAATGCATAGTGACATTAATTCAAACGGTATACCTTCTACATGTAGGCATCATTGCTACATCGAGCCGTCAACCACAAAAGCGAAAAAAAACATTTTAACAAATACAAAATTTTACTGCAAACTCATATATAGACGATAAAAATCAGGTGAAATCTACGGAGTATTCACTGTCTCTCTTTGAATTCTCCTTCTAATTCTATTTTGTCTATACTTGTATTCATGCGTAGCTATCTGTTTTTCTTGGTTGGACTCGATATATTAAAGTTAATGAAATGTTTCCGACTATTTACATTTAGTATTGACAATCTTTCAACTCTTCAAAAAATTGATGCTTAGTTTTCTTATAGCCAAACTTCTTCTCTCAGAGATGCTTAATATTAAGGATGCACGGAGAAATCGAAAAACCCAGGTCGATGATTCCTGAAGCAGTATTCCGTGAATTTTCGGCGAGAAACTGCAGGAAAGACACCATTTTCGGTCGAAATCCGCCGGAAAATGCCAGGAATTCGATGTAGGAAACCGGTGATCATATCCGACTGCCAGTTTGCCAGGCTCTGGACGGAACTGAAAAAACCTAGTCATCGGATTCCTGATTTCAAATCCCTAGCATTTTCGGCGTTTTTCTGCAGGAATCGATCCGTACTTCTCGACTTGCGAAGTGAAAAGTCTAATAATGATCGGTTCTGAAACCGGAACCGGTGCAACCCTATTTAACATAAAAATACTTTCTACAAGCTTTTATATATTAGACATTTGAATACAGGCAGTTATAGAATAAAATCCAAAAATAGAAGCTTTCATAATAGCATAATTCTTAGCCAGGTTAAACGAGTCCCTAACGGCGTTTCACATCGTATCTGTGAAAGTTTTAAGTTGTCTGAATAATCTCTGGAATCAAATTTATAAAAAAAAGTCAATGTGGATAAATGTCTTGTATTTAGTCACACCCACACATTCAACAAAAGACAATGAATACAGAACATGTTTGCAACAAGACCAAGTTCGAGTACAATCTATCGCATAGGAAAGAGAAGAGCACGAATGAATGTTTTGTCTGTATCCACACGGACTCAATAGTGATACTTCAAAACATTTCTTTTTCCGATATATTGCATTTCAAAAACTTATACAAGTCATTGAACTATTTCGATTTCTAGAAACCAAACCGATATCCAATAAAATATTTTTTTATAGGATTTTTATATATGAATATCTATCGTGTAATTGTCAATAAAAAAAAATGACTAAGAACAATACCTTTATTACTATTAATATTTTTATTTCGTGGTACAAGATCAAGATCAATTTTAACATGATTTGGTTGCATACTCTTAATAACTGATAACATTGTTTGACTATATGTAAAATCATCAAGATCTTCATCATCCATATTTTCACTGTTAATTTTTGTTTTCTGACTAAGTATATCATCCGATTCATCTGTTTCAAAACCATCTATACTAAAATCTGAATCATTACTTAATTCTTCATTAGTTTTTAATAATCCATTAGCTAAATTTGTTGCTAATAATTGACTTTGTGCAAATGCAGCAAAATTAGTTAATGGAAGATTTGTTGTAGCTAATGAATCATTTGATGATGATGAACCATCACGTGTTTTTGTTACTAGAGTTGATGTATTACCAAAACCAAGACCTAAAAAAAACAAAAATACAAGTTCAATTGATTTTAATAATTGTTTTTCTTTTTCTAATACCAAGTTGTGTTAAATCAAATTCTTCATCATCATCTGAACCAGTTTCTTTATCTTTAGCTCCACTATCATCTGAATTATCTGAACCAAAATCAGTTTCTGAATCTCGTCGTGGTTTTCTTGATATTCTTCCACTACGTAAAACTTTTCCTGGTCGTTTTGGTTTTTCTTCTGTTGTTGTTACTGTTACTGATTTAACTTTAACTGGTTTACGCTTATTTCTAACCGGTTGTTGTTGTTGTTCATTTAATTTAGGTGATTCTAATTTTGGTTGAATTAAACGTTGATGTGATTGAAATGAACCTGTTGTTAAATGATTAACACCACGTGGTGGCTGACCATAATGAGAACCACGTCCAGCTCGACCACCATATAATGGTGGTCGACCTCGACCACGAGGACGTCCACGAGTTGTACCTCGATAAACTCGATTACTTTCTATGAACATTTAAAAAAAAACAACACAAGTTATTAATGCAATTCCTATAAGATTAAACTGTGAAACACGATGCAGTTGGCTTTTGCTAATCATAGGAAAATTATTTTAGGACATGCCAACGTTTTACTTAATCCTCTAGAAATAGAATAAAGAAGTCATTTGTATATTATTAGAACGAGACATTATTGATATACAATAAAATCTCTCTATACGAAATATCATTCGGATCATCCAAAAAGTATTCATTATATAGAAGTTTTTCATTGATACTATCAAAGCAAAAAACTATTGCATATATTTATTCAATTTTTACTAAAAAAAAAAAAAACATCGATCGTTGTCTGCTTGATTTCTTTTGGATCGATGAGCTGTGAATTAAGTTACGCAATAAGAAAACACAGTTGTAATTGGTAATAGACAACTAGTAGGTGCAATCATCTCACAGTCTTCATTGCCTCAATAAACTTGAGTAGTGTTTCAGTCGATGAACTCTCGTAATCTCACATTCGTGAAAATATAAAAGGGCGTTGTTCTTTTCTTATGCAATCAATTAACTTGTTGTAGACTATTCATTATTCCTTTTGTTTCATACATGCGACGAATAGGCCGCTGATTAATAGGCGTAGCATAATTTCAGCATGTACGTGCGGCGTTCTCTTTTTATATACATAGGCGCATACTTTGTTGCAGGTGTGTTCACTGTACAGAGGTCTGTTTACAACGAAAATCGATCGGTAGAATCGAGACATGCATTCAAATAGGAGATGTTCACTGAACGATCAAAGATTGTATATCAACAATATCTGTTCTAGAGAGGAAGAACGTTGTAAAGACCTTTGTCTAGCGTTTATTATAGTTTGTAAGGGTATAGGTTCAATTTTTTTTTCTCTTTATACTTCAATTAGGGATTTGTAGACATAAACTCGTAGTTTTCTAATTTCAATAGTTCGTGTTTCACAAAATTTAATCTTTAAATAGTAAGATATTTTTTGAATTTATACCATATTTTCTAAATGGCATATCAAATTCATCAATATTTTCTTCTTGTTGAAAAAAATCATCACCAAAATCATCATATTCATTATCAAGTAACATTCCATCTTCATCTTCATAATTATTACCCGTATAATAATCACGATAATAATTACTACGTGGATAAGATGTATTATGTGTTGAATATGTACGATTTGTATTTGTTGAATATGTATTATTACGATTATGAGAAGGAAATCTATTCATTGTTTGATACTGTTCATAACGTTGCCAAATTGTTTCATTAATATCATTTTCATTTAAACGTTTAAGTGCAACTTTTGTTTCATTATATATATCTCAAAAAAATAATAAAATTAATGTAAGAAATTGAATAAAATCGAACATACTATGTATACGTCGTAATCGTTCTTCTAATAAAGATCTATTTGATGAATTAAATCGTGAAACGGAGATTAAATCTAAGACAAAACAAAAATTATATTTTAACATAAACAAAAAAATTATTACCATTCGATACTGGTAAGTCGTTTGTATAGTAATTTTGTCCATTGATTTTCTACAAAACAAAATGTTCAATTAGAAATATTATATTCAATTTATTTAGCTATAATTTAATAGACAATTGTTAAACGAAAAAACTTACTGATGAATAATCATAATTATTAGTTGAATGAACAAAATATTCTCGTTTTTTAACTAATGATTTTGTATCTTTTTCATCATTATCAACAATACCATCTATCTGACTATGCATTAAACAAATATTTTTGTTTGATTTTATTTTTAATTTAATCATATTAATAAGATGTTCATAATCAATTTTTTTTGTTATGATTTCATCGAAATGATATGGTATTAAACCATCTGTAAACATTGATAATGATTTTTGATCATCATCATCATCTAATGTTGGTACATAATCAATTGTTGTTGACATTAGATTTGTCATTGATGGCGATTGATCCAATGGTATAGATACTAAATATTTAAAAGTAAGAAGAAAAAAAAACAAAAACTTAGCCTTTTAATTCTAAACTTACTTGTTTGAAGTTCAGCTGTTATTTGCATACAACGTGCTATATCATTATATCGTTTTTGTAAACGATAAACTAATAATTTTTCTGGTCCTGTATCATCAAGATAGGATAATAGAGTATCAAATTGATCAAGTGTAGAATAATATCGTACATCTTTACCGGTTTCATCCTCTCTGTAAGCAAAAAAAAACAAACATTTGATTATATAACAAAAAAAAAAAAAAGAAGAAAGTTTAAATAACTAACACAAATAGTCGACGACAAACAAACCAATATCTTCGTTGTTCTCGATCATGACCAATACATCGATGACGTAAATAAAATGGTCGATTTTCTCGTAGAGGAATACAATCTGTTACACCATGTACTTGATTTTGTATACATACAGGACAAAACCATTCAACAGTTGGTACACTTATTAATGGTGGATTAAGACAAGCTAGATGATATGTTGCTTCACAACGATCACAACAGAGTAAATCACCACGTCTAAAAGTATTCATTAATATTTTATATGAAATAGAGAATTCAATAAAAATTAAACAAAAAAAAAAAAATATTCGAAAACAAAAATCAATCAAAAACTTTCAACTAGAATATTTATATCTGAAGATTGTATAGAATTTTAGAGTTTTTATTGATGATTCGGAATTTGTAAGAAATTTTTGTTGTAAAGAAGATTATGCTGAGCGTTTGGTGGGAAGTACGAGGGATTATTCATTGGGAACTTCTTCCAACTAATTTCACTATCACTGCTAATCTCTATTGTCAGCAATTAGACCGGGTTGCGGCAAAACTTGAGGAGAAGCAGGATAGAATTTATTTTTTGCATGACAATGCCAGACCCCATATTGCAAAATCCAAGCGTGAAAAATTATTGCAGCTCGAATGGGTTACGGTTCCACATCCATCTTATTCTCCAGACTTGGCTCCTACGGACTACCATTTGAAGGCGAAAAAATTCGACGACGAAAACGGGCCTCCTCAACTTCTTTGGTCAAAAGTCGCAGGACTTCTACGAACGCGGGATCCTTTCTCTACCAGAGCGTTGGCGACAAATCATAGATAGTAATGGAGTATACATTGTTGAAAGCTAGTTGTATTCTTGATATTAAAAAATAAAAAGAAAATTTCCAAAAATTTCTTACCAATTCAATAGAAGAGTCATTGAATATTTTTCTAATACCTTTCGATAGAACATTGATACGAACCTACCTTTTTTCGCTATTAGAAAAAGAAGATGAAGACACATCGAATCATATATTACAGATTCGACTATCAAATATTTTCTATTGAATTTTTGCAAAAAAAATATATACTCCTAATGCATCTTCATCTCCTCTTTCTAACCGTCAAAAAAAAATGGCAGATCCGTATCTGCTATCTATCAAAAATTATTCTATTTTGAAATGGATAATAGTTACATGCTTGTCTATAAAAAAAACTCTTGTTATTCAATTCTTTTATACAGGCCATACTAATGGATTAAACTTTTAATCTTTTTTGAAGTTTATCACATGTACAGAGTTTGAATTTCAAAAGAAAATTTAAGATTTCTTCATGGGGTTTAGAGGAATATGCGAGTCCGTCAGAAAAAAAAAATCGTTCTAACCATCACTATAAATAAACGTTTTATAGCTTTAGACGAATGATAAAAGACATGAACCTAAAAATTGCTATTCTCTAGATCAAGACTAGAACTCAAAAAGATTTAATCATATAGATTTCTATTCAGATCGAAGGATTTTTTTATTTTGATAATGAAAATAAATGTAAAGATAGATTATATACGAGATTTTTACTGTTTATAATAATAAAATAGACTTTTTCTTTTTTTTTATACTCTTATATTTGTATGAATATAACTTAATATCTTAAAATAATTGCTACGATGATTTACTTTTGACATTGTCTACAATTATCATCATGTTGTTTAGGTTTTGTATCATCAAATTCTCTTCGTATAGTTTTTGTTGTTAATGCAACATCACATAAAGCTGATAGTATATCAATTTTTTCTTGAATATTTGTATTAAATGGATAATCTTTAACAATTGATGTATATATTTTTAATTGTGGATGTGATGTAACATATAATTGTAATATATATGGCCATGTTATATAATCCATAGTAACAAATGATAAATCAATAATACCTTTAATATCTGTTTCAGATGCATATGTTATACTATCATCATCATCTTGTTTAATTAATAAACGTAATAAACATATATGTATTTGTGAAAATAATATATTATTTATATTAATTGATTGAATAATTGATATACAAAAATGTTCAAATAGAAATGGTGTAAGACGTAATATTGATGAAAAATGACGTAAAAATTCATAAATTGTTGCTAAATGTAATGCTTGTTGTGGTGTTACATATAGATCATTTGAACTTATTGGTAAATTAAATATTTCATTATTAATATCATTATGATAATAATCAATTGATGAACTACATTGATCTTCTTCAAGTTCATTTTCATTAGGAGGATTTGTCCAAGATGATGATGGAAATGAATCTTCATCATAATGTTGAGATATTGGAGGATGTACACGACGTTTTGATGTATAACATATTTCATCTTCATCTTCAAAATCAGATTCCATTGAACGTTGCATTTTCTATCGTTCTAAATTGAAAGAAAAAGAAAATATAAAACATTTTGTTATATTTCATCAACCATATTGATTCCATTGTTATACTTTTATGTGTAACCTCAATTTATAGATGAAGATTTTATATAAATAATTAAAAATATTTTTTATAAATAGAGAAAAATAGGAAAGTTTGAAAAAATGAATTTTATGCTTTTTAATACAGCGACATCTATAAATTGAAGACTTTTGTTAGAATACCTATTTTGATGGATTATATCTATTTCTAATAAAATAATATGTCAAGATTTGAAATTAGTCAATAACAAATGGTAAGATATTGAACCTTGATAAAATATGGATATTTCATTGTAATGATAGGTAGTTCAAGCCACTGTTTCCAACACCAATTGTACTGATGAACAAGAAATAAAATTTAAGATTTGTCTATTGTAATTAAACTAAAGCATATGTTAGTGATATCCATTGTCTCTTTCGATTGGTACATATGTCTGTATTTTCATCGTAAATTTGCTGTATACTGATTGTATGGGTTCAAGCTGGATGATATTTTTCATAGATAGGATTGATTTGACTCTAAAAGAAATACAAGTGGTCTCATTTCTGATGTTTAATTTTCTGTAAATGTGTCCGATGAAAAAATTAATGCATATAATTATTTGTTTATTCATTTACAAAGTATTAATTGATATCCTGCATTAGAGAGAAGATAGGAATTTCATGCGTAATTGTTTACATTATGAAAGACTTGTTTTATTGACGAATAGAAAATGTCAGCATACATGGCTTATGTAAGAAAACATTTCGTTTTAAATTTTCATTACGAACAGTAATATAAGCTATTGTGCATATACTTTTAAATTTAAAAATGTATTTTAGAAATTATGAATCAGTTCGAATCTAGAATTCTTTGTGAATTCAAACAAAATTGTTAAAATATATTTGATTTTAGATTTCTATTTATAATTCGAAAAATAATTATATTTAATTATCGATACTAAATAATGGCAACTGACCATAAGACAGATGAATATATTAAACTCAGAGTCGTTGGACAAGATAATAGTATGAAATACGTTTTTTTTCTTCTGCTTATGTTAATTAATATTAAATTATATTATAGGTGAAGTTCATTTTAAAGTTAAAATGACAACAAATATGGGTAAATTAAAGAAATCCTATGCTGAACGACAAGGTAAAAATTCAATTGAGTTTTTTTATTTGTCTTTAGTTTTTTTTTTGTCTTTTGTTTTAAAACTAGGTGTCAGTGTAGCAACTTTACGGTACAATTTAATTGATGATTTAATTGATAATTTTAATTATTAATTTATTTAAGATTTCTTTTCGATGGTAAACGTATAAATGATGATGAAACACCAAAACAACTTGAAATGGAAGATAACGATACCATTGAAGTGTATCAAGAACAAGTAAATAAATAAATTTATTTATTTATTTTTTTTTTAATTTTTAAAAATTAATTTTAGGTTGGAGGATTTTATTGAGTCTATCAAACAAAAATATTTTTTGTTTTTTATACAATATGTAATGATTATCTTTGAGATGAAAAAAAAAAGTATGCGTTTATTTAAAAAGAAATGTTCAATTTATGTTTTCTTATTGTGGATTAAAAATAGAACAAAAACAAAATTAGGAAAATTTCTTCTTTTTTTTTAATAATAAAAAATATTTTCATTTATGATTGATTTTATTTTTAGTAACAGTAATTGAAGTATACAGTTGCAAAAAACAAAAGAATAGATCGTATCACATGCCATATGTTCATTTTTCTGAAAATAATCTTTTCTTTAAGCAGATAGCTAGAGAAATTATCAAAAATTTTGCAAAGAAGATGGGATCAGATAAAAAATCATATCGTCTATGAAAGATCAGATCTTTGACTATCTTTTCATACATTTATGTTAATTGCAATTTTTCTCTCGAATATTAAGTTTGTTAATACGCTGATAGATACTTGCTCTTTTCAGAATTCTTCGAGAATAGCTCAACGAAAAACAATGAAGCTCTCCATATGAGAACCACAAAGGTTAAAAATGGCTATAAGTTTTCTCCCTTCGCCTCACACAACTCTATACTTCATTTTTTCAAAGCTGCAATTTTTTATGAAAACCAAGATCAAACCGTGGTGCTTATTTTCTTTTCTTTCGAAAATATCACTCCTACAGCATAGAAGAAGTCAAATACTTGAAGTAGCATCAGAAAAAAAAATGTTTTTTTTTTCAATAGTACTGATTTTTTGAAGTTTGTTGAATTTCGTAGACACAATATTTTGAATCTGACCGAAAGTACCATGTGAAAGAAAAAGGGAAAAACTGCATTTTCTTTTTTTCTGTTAATTTCTTGGTAAGGATAGTCTTTACAAAAATGACACATTGTATGAAAACATAGATGTACATGACGTATAGGACAATATACATTTTGTCTTTATGCAGCAACCTTCATTGAGTTTGAGGCCGGTGCGCTAAATCATCAAGATGAGTCATTTTTTAAATATTCCAAGCAATTTCTTTTTTTTTGTTTTTTTGGTGGGCTAAGGTTATTATCTAGTTTTGATGATAGATGATGAGTAGTTAATACTTTTTTAAATTCAATATTCAATTGTTCTCAGTTCTTGCAACATTACATTTGCTATTGGGTAAATTTATGGGATTTTTACCACAATTTAGAAATTTTTTTTTTTGTTTCAATCTGAATAATTTCGTTAGATAGATCATAATCGAATGTTTAAAAAGATCTTAATAAAATTCTGAAGAATTGAAATAGATCAACAGAAAATTTCATAGAGCAATTATTTTCATCTCATCATTGCTAACGATTAGATATTGAATTTCGTATTTTTTGTTTTTTAAAGAAAAAGAAAATCGAAATAAAGAAACAATTTGCTGTTGTTGACAGTAAAAAAAAAGAAACTCTCTTCCGATTTCATACTATAAAATCTGATTCACCAAAAAATGAATAACAATGCGTTTTTGCACAACGTAAGTAATTGCGCAATAAAAACAAATATCTGACGTAAGTGGAGAATATTTGTACTTTAATCAAAAAGATAAATTTCGACTAGACACATATATTTAATCAACAAAACATTGAAAGAGATTTCATTGATGACAGACAAAGTTATTCCTTCATTTTTAACATTACCGGTAGAACTTATCTATCGTATTCTTGATAATCTCGATATATTCACTATTCTATGTTCAATTTTTAATGTTTCTACACGTATTAATCAAATTGTCGATAGCTACCGTCAACATAAGGTAAAACATTTGATTTCTATTATTTTCGAAATATTATTCATTGGTATTATATATCTCAACTGAATTTTTGTTTACTTATTTATCATATCGTTTCAAATGAAATTGAAATATTGTTCTTTTTTTTTTCTTCTAAAGTATTCAAAAGAAAATGTTTACACAAAATAATTTGAGTGAAAATAAAATATCTTTTTAGTTCAATTGATTAATAGAAGATTGAAGAAAAATTTAGAAGAATAATTTTGCAAATTACTCTTTTTGTTTTCTCAAAATTTAATATAGGATTAATAATAAAATTAAGTTTGGTAGTTGAATCTTAAATTTTCATATAATATTTCAAACATAGAATAATAATCATTTGCTTTGATATTAATGAAATAGAATTTATCTCTATAATTTAAATATAGACAACTAATACGTTACAATCTCTGGGTAATCCACTTGATCCTCAAACAATATACTATCTAGTTAATATATTACAACATGATAAAGTAAGATCAATTCTTTTGTTATCTATTTGGTATTGATGTATATCATTCAATATAGAAAATTACGAGGATAAAACTTGGAAACAGTGCTATCGGTGATACAGGGACGCAATATTTAGCTGATTTATTACAACATAACACAGTAACACTTATTTTCTAGTCATTTATCTCATATGTTTCTATATCATTGAAACCAGATGATCATCACGCTTGATATTCGATACAATAAAATTAGTCCTCAAGGAGCACAATATTTAGCGAATGCATTGCCGTATAATACAGTAGGATTAGTCATCAATATATTTATTTTAATTTTATGTGTCATATTCAACATAGACACTTCGAACGCTCTATCTTGGCTACAATGCAATTAGTGATGAAGGAACACAATATCTAGCAAATGTATTACATCACAATACAGTAAGATCAGTTTTGTTTTACTCAACTATCTTTTATGAATCTATGCCGTTTTATACAGTCACTCACTACATTAAACCTTTGGGGAAACGGAATCAGCAGTATCGGAGCACGACATCTAGCAAATGCATTACAGCATAATAAAGTATAATTGATTTTCTAGTGATTTATCTCATGCATATCTTGATCATTTAATATAGACACTTCTCAATCTTGATCTTGAATACAATAAAATCGATGGTAACGGAGCACGATATCTGGAACGAGCATTGCAGTACAATACAGTATGATTAATTCTCAATTCATTTATTTCATTGATATCCTATCATTTAAAACAGACACTCAAAATGTTGAAGCTTGAACATAATTCAATTGATTTTCAAAGAAGAAGCTATTTTGAAATAGAAATGAAAAAAATTCCATTGAGAGTGTGGCTTTGATCAAGAATTGATGAAAGTTGTTTATGATAAAATTGTATATTATTCATCGAATATTTTCATTTACATTTTAATGTTGTTTAACAATCTAGAAAATTTATAATATAATTTTTTATTATTTAATAAGTAAAAATATTAATATATGATGAGTTATCTTCTTTATGTAAATTTATATAAATGGATGTTTTTAATTACCAAATATCCGAAAATCTTTGAAACATAATTTGTCACTGAGATGTTTTCACAAGAACACAAAAATCATATACACTTCATTCACTTTTTATCATAATCGTCAAGAAATTCTCATCATTTGTTTCAGTAAATTTTAAGAGAACGAAAACAAATGATGTATGAAATATTGTAATTCCTCAGTCATTCGAATGCAACTTTACACACTAAAAGTTCGCAATAATCTCTTATATATTATTAACATGCATTGATGTGTGGATTAACTTCCAGATAGACGTCATTCATATGTGTTCTTGACAAGATCAAATTTTCTCTTTACAAACGTACGAGTGTTCTTTTCATTACATTTAAAATTTGTATCTCATGTTAATGAAAATTATGACATAGTCACACAACGTCCACATCACGAAAGTTCTTTGTGTAGTTACTCTTATTGTGATACACCAAATGGACGGTTTTTTTCGGACAGAAATTATGAAGGAGATTTAGTGGCAGAGTGTTTTCTTCTTCGAGGATAGCTGTCTTTTTTCCTCCATTCATATACACCAAACGCATATTACTGTAGAAAGAAGTTAAACTGAGATGTTTTGAAGTAACAGTATTTTTTTTAGATGTCAAGTGATTTTTTAAAGAAATTCATTGCTTTGTTGATATATTCGTTGTTCATTGTTAACTCTACCAAGTTGATTGTAAATAGGTACTTTTTTCTTTACTATCATTGATTATATGATCGAGTATAATTTCATAAACGTTTTCGAGTTGAACAAACAAACCTATTATAGATGGCAATAGGCCTAATCTTAACCATCTTGTCCAATATAGAAAAGTTTCTTGTTCAGTGTATTCAAGCAATGATACAAGATCTTTATCACTGTCTCTGATCAATGTGAAGTACACTTGAAGATATCGAAGATTTCGCCATTCGTTTAATTTCGTGAATAGAAAGAAAAATCGTATGTATCAAAAACAGAACTTTCTCTCTTTTTGTTTCATAATATTTAACTTCAGTAATGCAAACGAAAAATGTTTTTTGGTTGAGAAAAATGAATAGTAATCATGAACGAATTTTACACTCAATTATGGTCTGCAAGCACTGTTCAAAATATAGTGTAGGAAGTCTATTTGTTACCAACACATTTATTGAAGTGTATATCAATCTATGCAAAAAATATGCTATTCAATAACAACCTGAAATTATAGTTGTCTTTGATCTTTGTAGCAAGTCGAGTTTCGTTTTACATTCTGTCTACAAAAATGTCAATATTTAACAAGTCATCTAGAGATATTACTTAACTTGAGTACGTGCTTTATCTTCTTCACGCACTGCTATACAGACGATACTTTGCCCTTGAATCAGATATACAATAATGCATGAAACCAAAAGAAAAGAAAAAGAAAGTTGAAATGCTCTCACCAGGGATCGAACCTGGGACCTTCGCGTTATTAGCACGACGCTCTAACCGGCTGAGCTATGAGAGCACATGAATTTATAAATCACCTTATTTCAGATTTCATATTGGGATTTCATACTCTTAAAACACTCATAGTCTCTGAGATACCAAAGGAAATTTGTGAGTTAGATAGAAAACGGGCGTGTATTTGAGCGTCAGTGGAAACTAGAATCTCACTCACAACTGAACCTCCCACCTGTACTTCACAACTACATTCAAATCAACAGCAACCCACAATAGAGTTCAGA